TTCGTGAAATGTTGGCTTATTCGCTAGAGTGTTCCGCAACACATTCTGTCCAGTAGATTTGTCGGCCAAAGTCAACAAATCGACTGAAATAAAAAAGCAGCCCCGACTCTGCTTTTTCCATTGCAACGATATCACCTCCAACTGCGGTCAATCCAACCTAGACTACCAACTGGTTGCCAGCAGGCTGGCTAGGCCCCGAATGTTTCGGTACTTCTTTGACCATGAAGCCTACTTTGCGAATACTTGGATTATAATTACGGATTGATGATATATATCAACTTCTTTCTCAATAATCATGCATGGGGCGCTCGATACTGAGTGCCTTTGACACTATCCGAAATCCCTTCGCTCCCCTCTCTAAGTTGAGACATAAAAGGGATTGGCAATATCGCAGTAAGCCCCCGAACCTCTCATCTGCCTCTGCCACCACTCACAAGAATACAAACTGGCTAAGAATAAAACAAAACAAATGGAAGAAGTTAATCTCCGTCTCTTAATCCTCCCCATCTATATCCCACTCCTCTCCTTTCCTCCTCGGCATCTGACTCTATCGGTTTCATAAATGTGCCAGTAAATGAATTGAACTTTCTCGTTAGTTAATTTGAGGTAGGAAATAAATCACTGCAAATATCTAAACTATATAGTCTTCCTCGTCGTCACCAGGAACGTCTCCTATTGGTTACAGCGCACTACATGTATTTCTAATATTGATTGCATATCATGATTGGACAAAGAACTACTCCCGAGATGGAAGGGAACTGGCATTAAAAGGCGTGTAGCTATTTCAATTGATGGATATAAAAGAACAAACACTGACAGAACTACAGCTATATTTTTATATATGAAGGTCGAATTTCCCTGATACCATTTTATCATGAACTACATGTACATACTAACGCTACTAATTGAATGACTTAGAGTGCATACTAGAGCTAATATATCACAGATTACATATAAGGAGAGATGGAGATGAGGTTTAGTGCATGCCTGTACGTTTGGATGACACAATAATCCAGAATGACAGCAATAATCTAAGAAGTTACTATCGCAGTACCGCCCGCACCTCATTTCCTTAGTACATTTGGGCGGCCGAAGGCCGCACTCCGCTTGTATCTACTATACTACATGTAAAAGAATACAATACCAAAAAAGGCTATGGATTCGCTACGTTATTCCTGTTGATGCGCTAGTAATGCGGTAAGAATACAACATTGCTACTGTATTCGTTTTGTAATGCCGGTTTAATTTTGTATTATTTACTGGATCCCATAGTCATACACTACTGATTTCACCGCGTTTTTTTCGTACTAGCTGTATGTACCGAAAATGTTTCGCTAAACCTAACCCTGAACCTGGCACTCTCAACATTGAATGGGATACAGCAGATATCAGTTTCATGGCTAACAAAGGGATAGATGAGGTAGTACTCAAATCTGATGGGAGGGTCTGCTATCTGTACTCGGGCCATGGGGATCAGTTGCAGGTGCTAGAAGAGCCTGAGTTCTAGACTACAGGTACCCACATACCTTTAGAGCCTAAAAAATAGTGACCCAGGGGGTAACGCCCTGAGGTTTTTTTTTAAAAAAGAAAAATCCGAAGAAGGAGGCTATCCCCTAAGGGAAGAGAGGAGGAGTGGAGGTGGCCTCATAGGTAGAGATGAGACCATGGTTGTCTAGGTTTTGACCGGGGTCAGTGAAGAAGAGGTCGTGGATTGTGTAGTGGAGACAAGCCTTGGTAAAAGGTAACGCCCGGAGGTACCCCTAGTTTATATATATTAAAGGTTGGTTTTTCTTTTTCTTTTTCTTCTTTTTCTTTCCTTTTCCGAGCTATTGAATAGAGTCGGTATTATAGTTTAACTCCCCAGCAGACGAGAATAGTGCCACCGAATATCTACCTAACAGCATGATAACGAGAGTATCACTATATGAAGTATCACTATAACGAGGGTCGACTGTATATGTTAGCTTGAGTATTAAGAACTAGATGTACCTAGGCAAGTAAAGAAATATTCCCTACCTTTTAACCAGATTTCCATCCATAGTATGTTATCAGATACAACATCTCGTGGATGTGGTTAGGTGCCAACGCTAGGAGAGCTGCTTGGCAGAACTTATTTCCAACGCTTATTGTATTTCCACCATGCCTGTTCGGTTCCTGGATTATAGTTTTAGTTTTTAATATTGTTGCGTCCTCTTCGGGTCCTAGAGTTTAGTTTTGATTTTAATATTGTTGCATCCCCTTCGGAACCTGGAGTTTAGCTTTAATTCTTAAGATTGTTGCGCCCCCTTTGATCATCAACTTGGTGACCTTGTTTTGTGATGATATGCATCCGTTCCCATTAATACTGGGTGACCAAACTCCCTCCGGGAGGTCCCGGTTCCTGACCCGATTTGGAATCGAAGATGTGCCCTGATGTGCCCTGTTGAGCAATTCTGACACCACGTTGTGGTTTACACGCGACGTGAGTATTCGGAGGTGATTATTACGTTCATCGGCCTAAATCTCTGCAGGTCTGCGTGATCGTATTCGATTATCCTTGGTGACATTTTCACGATGACTTGAACTACTGATCAAGTTAGTCTCTGAGTTCCGAGCGGTGAGCCACGAAGCCACAAGCCCCAACAAACACAAAGGAATTGAGGACCTCTAGTAGCATCTCACAGCTAGATTCAGGTTGTAGTTTCAATCTTTGATGGCCTTTGGTGATGGCAGGTGAAATGGGAGAACGAAGAGGCGGCAGAGAAGCAATTATAGCCACAAGCGCTGATAGAGGCGCTGATCGAGATTAAGGTAGTGGGGCCTCTGGCAATTAAAGTCTCATAACCCTAGACTTAGGGTAGCTGCATTGGCTTTTTGATTATTATTGATAATTAGGAGAATTCAAGATGAAGAGGCAGTAAAGAAACAAGCAGCGAAAGAGAAGGCAGGCGACATACATGTAAGCTCTACCAACCTATGTATGTAATCTTGGGCTTTACTACATGTACATTGTACCCTTCCCGCTTTTGTGTGGCTCCCAAGGCCCCTCTAGGTTAGCAGAGAAAAGCGCCCGCGTTCTCGTATGGTCCGTGCTTTACTTACAGGTGCTGCCCGACGCCCGCGTGAGAAGGCACTTACATGTAGTACCCATGTACATCTGTCCTTATCAAATCCCATCCAGCTATCGGGTAAAGAAAATATACATAACTTAGTTAAATCCGTCTATTCTCGAAAATTACCACTTATTGGCATGAAAATGGCTTCGTGATCAACTACATGATACAGGAACCATTATTTAAGGAGTAAAGGGCCAATTTACCCTTACCCCAGTTTAATCTAGATCTAAACTTGGGACTGCGAGATTAATTGTTGCCGGATTCATTGTCCACTCCACCATAATACATGTAACAATGACCGGACGCCCTCATTAACCGTTCGCTAACCGCTCAGAGGTGGCTGTTGAGGTTGACCAGCGGTTCCAGGTGTATGAAAAAGTTGGAGGACTGCTCGAGTGATATATCATGACTACATATTAGAACCGCTCATCTATCAAGAAACTTGGTGTATATATATTATGTACATACCTGCAGGATAATAATTCTCTCGTCTTAAAGCAACAATAACACATACCATAAGATTTGAAAGATGCTGATTTGGAGCACACCGGCTCGACCGAGGAGGGTTAGAGGTCTATCTATGTCAGCGAATCCTATCGGTGCCATTACGTCTGGGGCGAGGATACCAAGTTTGATGCCATGGCTACCTTTGTCAGCTACCTAGGCTCTTGACCCCCAACACCACGTTTGATTATGGGATATTTACATGATGTCACGTATATAATGGAAGGACTTCTCTGTATATGACCTATACTAGTGGACATGTCTACCATGGCTTGATCTTATAAGATCAGACCATTCCCGCCCACAACCGACACTCTAGCTAGGCCTGCAGGCCTGGGCGCGGTATTACCGCTTTCCACGGAATATCACTGACCTAGAGTCAAATAATTTCGGCCCCTGTAATAAAGAACCAACAATATGAACCAACAATAGGAATCAAGCGATTCGAAATTGAGGACCACTATTCCTGATCTGCTAAATCAAATTCAAAAGTAAAAGTAAAAACATACCTTAGAGTTAATCTAACTTTAATTAGATATGGATATATATGGTTCCTGAACGGCAGGTAGACGTATTCGAGCGGTGGAGCTCGATTACGGGACCATGCCGTAACTGTGTAAAGGCACTTTATGAACATGTAACTTCAACATATATCGGGTTGGCAAACGGTGCTGTCAAGTTGGTAATGTGAATATCAATTGTCCTCCTGCAAGACGAAGGCCTCGTGCCATAACATTCGATTCACATTGTTCCGTGTCTATAGCTACAGTACGATGCCAGTCGTGAGCGTCAGGCGCGGCGTCGCAACGCCGCGCGCCCCCCGAACCAATGTCACGGGTACCAGCACAGCAACCACAATTGATCCTTTGGAGAGCTGAATTTTTGTATAGTTGTTAAAGAGTAGATAAATAAAAATAATTTGACGTTTAATATCTTGTGTACCAACCCGCCGTGAAAAGGTTGTGAAAGTTTGGTTATGCGCGCGCGTTGAGGCGCCGCGCCTGACGCTCACGACTGGCATCGTACTGTACCATCCTCTCCCTAACTTGCTTTTATACTTAAGCACAAATCTCACTACGGCCTTTACATAGAAGTCGCAAAAGAAGCTAGGTTTACACCAGTCATATAGGTATCGGAAGTCTTTGTCTATTAAGTATCATATAAATGTGTTTTCGTATAGTACATATATCCATCTCAACTATATACATAACCATAAACGTAACCAAGCATATATTCAGCTACAAAGGAAAAAAGAAAATAAACGCCAAAATAAACTAGTCTGTCATAGTACGGGACACTTTTTTTTTTTTTTTACCCGCCGCCGAGAGGTGGACAGTCGTAAAAAAAACGCCGAAACAAAGGAAAGAATACACAAGGAAACCGTTTTTCTTCTTTTTCTTTTTAATATTTAGGATCCCGGAAGGGTGATACTGGCTCCTTCAAGACTGGCGCTGGCGAGTATATACGCTCGCTGTCGATCGAGTAGGCATCCGACTTCTCGTTCCAGCTCTGCGAGTAGGGGCTTCCGTACACGCTACCGCCAAAGATCTGAGATTCAGAGATCCGCATCACCACTTCGACAGACTTTTCGTCCTCGATGACCTTGGGATGGGGCTTGGCAAAGTATTGTGCGTATTTGAAGATCGCCCAATAGCATGAAGTGACGTTGATGAATGTCAGAATCAACTTGTAGGGGACACAGTACAGCACCGCCATCCATGGAACCATCTTCTTCTTTCTCCTCAGATGAATCACGTTGAAGATTGCCGCATGCACTGCATACAATCCAATCACACCGATAAAGGTCCACAGCGCAAACCACGGCCGCACCATGAACGATATCGGTAGGATGAACGGCGTTAACAGGTACAGTAACGTTTCATACACCTCCTGCCAGACAAAGACCTTTGCACCAAACTCCCACCACCCCAGCTTCCAGCTGCAGATGATGTATTTCATATCGTACCAGATGCCGCTGACGAAGAAGAAGTTCCACCGATGGAACCTCTGCTTCCACACTGTCATCTCCCCGAAGCCTCCACGTGACCCCGTCGCAACAAAAACGTTTGTCGGCGTCTCTGTCTCGATAAACACTTGCGAACACATCAAGATCCGTGACCCGCGCAGCCTCGCCACGTGCCCCAGGAACCAATCCTCCGACACAGAGAAACCGGGATGGTACTTGAACGCCTCTGCCAAGAACTCGCGATCCCAGATGCTAATAGCGCCATGTGGGAATGTTGCACTGCCCATCTTGCCGGCGAACTCACGTTGGATGCCGCTCAACTTGTACTCAAGGTCCTGGGCCTGTTGAACAATCGTCCCGCGAGAGGAATCTGGGCCGACCGACTTGATGGTGTAACCAATACATTTGACAGCATCTGTCATGCGGTGGGTGACAACAGGAAAATCCGGGGGGAGGGCGCAGTCGTCGTCGATGAGAAGAACGTATTTGAACGATTTTGCCACATAGCAGCCGGCGAACTGGGCGACAATCTGTGTTTTATTTGTCAACACAAAATCCCAACCACCAGGTTACATGTATGTATAAAATCCATGATCTCATCGATTCAGGGATTTGTTTATTTGTGGGAAATTGCGCATATGCACTGTACGATGGAGGGAGAGGGAAGAGATCTAGACTCACCTTTGAACCCACAGGGACCCAAATATGGTTGACACCATGCACCTTGCAGATATCCTCCGTCTCGTCCAAAGGCGTGGGGCTGTTCCCATTCGCAATGACAAAAATCTGTCGAGCAGGAAACACTTTCTTAGCCGCCACGAGCGTTGCCTCGATTATAGTCGCCGCCTTGTAGCATGGAATAATGAGGGCAGTCTCGGACACATCGCGCGTCTCAACGTCGTCAACATTATCTTCAAAGAAGATTAGCAGCGGGGCGAAGGCGTAGAAGACGGCAATTCCCACAAAGATCGCGACACCAGCGGTCAGGGCAAACTTTCGTGACACAACGAGCCTGCAGAGATGGTGGAACATTTATGGTTAGTAAGCTATGGTTTGGTTGACAGGGTTGTGGCGGTGTCAGCCACAGGGGAATGATAGGACTTACCACATGTACCAGGTTAGACCCTGCCACAATGGCCGTCCGATGAGGATGAAGTAGATGCATAACGCAAGGAAAGCGTAGCAGCTGTATTCAAAGGCGATCATACTCCATTTCCCTCGCTCGAGTTTTGCCTTCTTTGATTTCGCTTTTTCCCACATTCCGTGGACACTGGATCTGCGGAATCGGGATGCCGAGCTAGGTGAGTGTTTGAGAGGCCTTCCCGCTGGCATAATACCATATGGATGTGTGTGTGGGCCTTTGTGTACGGCGGGCTCAACGGGACTGATCTCATCACCAGAAAATGGATCGTTGAAGGGCGAGTTTACAGAGCTAGCCAGAGAATAGTTGCGAAGGTGGTCGTAGAGGGCGTCTCGTTCGCTGGGGGATGGGGGCTGCGATTGCTTCTCAGAGGTAAAGGCTTTGACCGGGAATGTAGGTAGACTTGATCTCCTCTTCCGGTGCTTTGAGAATCTTTCTTTGCTAGATTCGCCTGTTATTGTATTAATATTATGTTAGTTTCAACAACCAATTAATTACTCAGTATAAGAAACAAAACAAAACTAGTATTCCATACCCTTGAACGGGGACAAAAACGGTTGCTTAATCCTGATCGCTGCAGCTCCCGAGGGATTTGTCCTGCTTCTCTGGAGCGTTGGTAAGGCCGATTCACCGCCCGAAGCCCCCAAATCAATCTGGTCCAGCAGAGCCACTGGAATATCAATCAATAAATCGGGACCATCTGCTCTCTCGGGGTGTATTGAAGGCGCCGGTGTAGCTGATGCTGATGATGACGTTGATGACGATACTGAAGAACCCTCTAAGGATTCTGTGGTGGAAGAGGAGTTTCTCTTCTCAGAGAATTCTTCGCAGTTGTTGTTGGCCATTGCTAATCTAGAAATGGAAAACCTAACTATAAATTGCTTACAGCTGGAGGCCTATATATGGCTAAGTAGCTATAGGTTGCCTGGAAGTCGATATATATGGCAGGTTCGAGTTGGGGAAACCTTATGTCCTGGGCGGAGGGGGTTTATATATATCACTGCGCAGAGTTTCTTTGCAAGTCATGTTGAAGGTGCAGGGGTTTGGGGGAAGGATTAAATTAATCTCGGACCCAGTCCATACCTCCATTTCTGCACTCTGTGATGGGGGACGGAGACTAAACTAGCTCTCAATGGGTGGCCTGGAGTAAAGGAATAAAAAAAAGATGCGTATTTAGCGTATAAAACGCCGAGAAAAGATGAACCGTGCAAGGAATACTAATTGTAATATCTACTTACAGACAGCTCATCACCGACTTCTAGCCTAATTCTTGAAATCCAACTCTGCATACCTGCTATAAATCTCCAGGGGACGACTAGTTTGGTGGGAGGGTGTCACCACTGCATTGTTAAATGAGGACAGATCGGGCCTGTAACTGCTCATTGAAGAGTGTAGAGGCCTTTTTTTTTCTTTTCCGCTGCGCTCGATCGAGATGTTTTCGACCCATCATAGGTACGTTCATGTCTTTGCAGGCCGTTCTGGGAGCTTGAAAGCCAAGTACCTAGATTTTAGAGACTGAATATCACTTCCACAATAATCTCTAATATAATGCAGTTTGTGCAAAGCTTGGCTAATGGAGAGAAATTTCTTTTTTACCCAAGTGATACAGGATCCCGTTCCATCCCCTCCATCCATTGCGTCAAAAGAGCAGAGAGAGAGGCGTACTCGGTATATTAAATTGCAACTCGTAACTCATCTTGTAACTACCCAGGAGGAGATCGGAGAAGCCCAAGTACTATCCACCCCAGGCTCTCCATTCCTTAGCTCTGGGGATATTCAGCAAGGTTAGATTTTCCGACACGGAGGGGCGGGAGACAGTCACTCTAGTTAGACTGCCTCAATTGAACAATCCAGGCTCTACATGAATAGGAAATCATCTCCATTGTCCTGTAGTAATAATCCCAAAAGGGAAGGGGGAGGGAAACAACTTGGTTGTTCAGGGTTAAAACACTGAAGCCTTCACGTAATAAACCGACAGAAACGACCTAGGACCGCTCTCGGAATCTCGGCAGCCCCTCCGGGGTAGGCAGTAGGAGCCCACTAGTGATCCCATTACCGACAACACATCGTTAGCTGCCGAAGCACTACTTGCGGCATGTACGGGGAGTTGGAGCCCCGAGGTGGTTTTGTCCATCTCCAGCTGAAGACCTTCAATGGATCTCGGCGCACGGAAGTTCCTCTAGATGCGGTTTAAAGCAGACACTCGAGGGTGCGCTGGGCACGCTATTCTGTGGTTGGCTCATAGGCTTCCCGTGGGAAACGTTGGCCGCAGCTGCGCAGCGCGAACAGTTTACTGTCAAGGGTGTTGAACCATATTGACAGCGTTATTTTTTTCATGTCTTAGATAAACTGGTACATGGCACCTACATGTACCTTACACTCCATCGTGAGAAGTGACCTGTGCTTTGGCCGGTGCTGCAATTGTCTGAGTTAATTACATCATGATTTCATACTGATGGCCAGCGGCTGGCTGGACTGTACGGAGTACTAGTAGCTATCACAATACCTCCTGTAGAGTAGCAGGTACCAAGTGCTCTGCAATTCTATTAAAACCACTTCAAACAAGGTAATTAATTCGAAACCAGCATTCCAGGAGTAGTAGCAGATCAATAAATAGTAACATTACATCTAGTGCAGTACGGCAGTCATCCACGAACACATCGTTACTCTACAGCTGATATACTCGTGAAACGTAGTTCTTCAAACAAATTAAGGAAGGGGAATACCTCATAAATCCAAACCTCAAGCTTTAAACCTCACCACGCTAACGGGGATTCAAGGCGTTCCAGGATGCGGTTTCTTCAATGGGGTACAGTGTGACAAGCCCTCAATTCTAGCGGCTTTTCTTCCGCTGTCACGCCAAAATGTCCGTCAAAGACATCAAGACACATCACACAACAGACGCCCAAGGTAGTACCACTATTCGCACATACATACTCCCTCTACTCTATTATCGAGCACGTCATATCCCTCTAGCGTTACTACTCCGAGTGCTCTCTGAGGCCTTCCGGGAAGTTGCACTCCCCCCGAGAGGTTCGGACAATGCTAACCGGGGTGAGACAGTCTTGCAAAAGCTGTTCGAATTCGTGATATGTGAGACACCCACCAGCTTTTCTGTGGAGTCTTAGAGCTGGTATCCCGCACTTGCACTTGCACGATCGATGAAAGTGCAATAAGAAAAAACTTACCTCATCTTCATGCGCAATGCCCCAATTCTACCTCAAAAGAATGTTAATATCTATTATATTGGATGGGGATGAAAGCATTCGTCACCAATCCCAGTTGGATTACAAGTGCGTGGGCGGGCAATTATACTATTCTCGGCCTCAGGAGGAGTGCTTTTCTCCTAACCTGGACACTGGGATGATGCCAACCGACAATAAACAAGCGAATTGGGCATAGGCCGGCGCTAGGATCACATAGAGGCATCGATGCCAAGAATCGTCCGGTGATAGACGGTAGAGGTAGGACTGTAGAGCAGGTACTCGCAGGCTGTATGTACTCGAGTACTGACGTTTTTGAACTGGGCCATTATTGCATACACCCAAAATCATGAGCTTGGCGTATTTTTGTATGGCATGCAATATCAGTCGCGTCCACAAACGTCAGAGAAATACGAGTAGAGAGTAGAGCTACAATTCAATTTCAATTAGGGAATATGTCCGAACACGGGATTGAGCTGTGTCTTGTGGGGGGGGTTCTTGGGATGATGGAGTTTGATGGTGGGGTGGGTCTTTGTAGTTAGTAGTGCACCCTTAGAGATCGCGTTCTCTTGCCTCCCCTGCCCCAAGATCTCGGTGTGCGTGGTTGGTTTGAACGCCGATGACCCCCCTGCAATGATCTACAGTCGGTTAATTCGCCGTACGCGTCTAGGGCAACCCAACGGGCCAGGGCCCAGGAACCCACGGGGAGAGAGGGGGGGGGAGGGGCAGAGCCTCTTTCCCACTCCCAGCAGGTGCAGTGCCCACCGCCCCCTCCATGGATCCAACTATTGCCTGCTTGCCGTACTTCTTCTTGTCTTCTCTTCCTATTCTGTCCTTCGATCGTTTCACTCTATTGCAGACAAAGGGACACAAGGATTACTCAACTACAATTGCAGTACCTACACTTTTCGTTCAGCGATTCACCTTGTGCAGCAGTATCGTTAATTGGAGTGAGGGGAGATGCAACAAGAACCTCCTAGAGTTATGAAAATAAACACCCAGTCAGGAGTAGATGATTCCTGATTCGATACTTACTCGAAACCAATAATGGACATCGCTTAGTTAAGGTCTCAGTCCAGCACTCTAGACTAGAGTACCTTTTCTATGACCCTCGAGTCCCCCTTCCCTTCCCTCTCTGATTAACAAACCAAGGGTCCATCCAGGTCCCTCTTTCATGCACAACCTCATATCCTACGTCGACCTACCTCGCACCACTACAACAGCACTACCACCATCACCACCATTGCTGCGCGTGAAAAGGTTAAAAAAAAATGCGGTTTGGAACACTCTTTTCGCGTCCACTTTACGCATCAGTTCAAGTCCCACGATCGGAGGCCCGGCTCGGTTATCTTTTGTGGCGCCTGTTCAACATAACAGAAAGATCTACCTAGGCGGAAATAGCTTAGCAGATCCTTTTTCCCGAATTTAGGACCCCGGGAAAGAGGTGAAGAAGCTACATGCTGTACTTAGGTCGATATTTCAGGGCCCGGAGGTGATTGTTTGTGGACCCTGGGCTAACTCTTACGTCACGGCCCGTACGCACGCGGCTAGCTGCCGTCGTCGAGGGGTACGTTTTTTTCTCTCCCACCTCAAAATGGGCTAACGTCTAGCATTTTTCTGTGACCGAGGTAGGAGTATAATGACTTTACTTTGTGCCTTTGGACTTCAGCTGGTTTGTTCGGATGAAGTGGCAGAGGTGAAAAATCTTCACGAATAAGGCAAACAAGGGCTCACTACATGTACTCATGGGTGTTCTAATGTGGATGTTTCTCTTCGCGATTGCCCCTGCCAGTATGAGCGTATATGCAGTTGAGAAATAAACATTGCCGGAGCCGAAAAGCCTCGAGAGAGTCATTCCAGAGGATCCGGGTATCCAACGTATGTATGTAGCTGTAAACGTATTTACGTGTACATACACTTCCCTTTCTACATACAGAGTCTGGTAGAATTATTGCGAAAGTCAGAACTAAAAGAGTGGGCTTCTTGGTCCGTGCTCACTGCAGAAATTCCTTTAAGGGTCAATAGGACTATCGGGTCACGGAAAACCCACTTTCGCAATAATTCTACCAGACTCTGTACATCATGGCTGGGCTTTCTTCTTCACGCCGACTTTACAAGCTTTCCGGCACTTTTTGTTTTCCAGTGGATATTCGGCAGAATGAACACATTTTCAATACTTAATTGAAACACTCAACTGGAACGATCTTACAAAGCCCATCCCCGGGTGGACATGCAAATCACACGGCTCCTCCCCAGTCAGTACCTGCATCTGCACCTAAAAATACGCAGACGAGAGATTAGAAGGAGTGCAAGCCAATCAACACGGCTTTCGGTGTTAAGATCCGTTGTGTTTGTAGAAGATGATCGCCCGCTGTCCGGATTGTTGGTAAATTGCGTTTACGTGGAGTATTCTAACTAGGTATATATATCTCGGTACTCTAGAGATATAGTACTTACATACATACCTAGAAAGTAGATAAAAGTTGATCTGGAGCAAGTGGGCTCTCGATCTTACTCGATCTAAATTCGAGTATTTCCAGGATCCTTGTAGCAGTCAGGGGTCCGAATAAGCACGCCAATTCGGAATTATGCAGGAACAAAAAAGACTAGTGACGAATATTCCATGGAAGATCCTTTCTGGTGTAATATGAAATGCATAAGGTAAGCCATATCATACTCTCAGGTATTCCAGAGTCTGACGCATAATCTGGGATAGTTTGCCTGCAATGCATATGCTTCTCAAGATCACAACATCCCATTTTCCGCTCATTCCGCAATATATGCTGCCCTTTTTTTCTCCGTTTTTTTCCGTGAATCACGGAAGTGGGGAAGAGTGGTACTCGAGTACTTACAATCGTTTGCTCTGGTCCTGTCCGGGAATCTCGGATGCCAGCGTGGTGATCTTGGTGATCAGAAGATCGTAGGTGCATGAATCTCAGCTTTATATTAACCTTAGCAAACCCCGAACAATCAAATAAACCCAACATGCACCTTATATACAATATAACCCTAAATCCCATGTATTATTCACTCTTTATATATGTAGTCGCTCATCGTCCACCCCAGATACCTAAGTACAGCGCCATGCCATAAGTCATGGGAAGGTGCGAGGTCGCAACGCCTGAACACAAAATCTTTCACCACCACCGATGGCGCCTGGAGACCATGTACCCCACCAGACAGCTAGGAGGGAATGACCAGCCTCCCTGCTGTGGCAAAAAACCGGAGTCTTACAACTCTGGTTGGAGGAGAATAGGGTAGATGTTCTGGAGGACTGGCTTGCCTATTCCATCCCATGGAACATGTTTGGGTACACCTCAAGAAGCTTTACCATCAATAGTACCCCCATTTGGCATATGGTACTGGATCACCTTAAGTATTAAAGCCCCTCGTGGAGGAAGGTCTAATTCATTGCTGGGAACTGTTACCTGATGATTTATTTGGTAGCTAGTTGAGAGCATGACTAGGAGAATAGAGCTGTTATAAAGGCAAGGGTTGGTACACAAGATATTAAATATCAAATTATTTTATTTAGCTACTATTTAACAACTATACAAAAAACCAGCTCTCCAAAGGATCAATTGTGGTTGCTGGGTGGGTAGTTGTGGTGGCCCGGGAGGTTGCTACGCCACGCCTTCCCATGATTTATGGCATAGAACTTGAATATGTGTTGACTCGAACCCTAACCCATGATGCATCTCGCAAGCGCCATAAAATTGTAGAACAAGTAGGTAGCTAATCAACCCTAAGATCGAGGTAAGAGAAGTAAAATCTGGAAATCAAATAAAAGCCCTTGAAATGTTCGGTAGTGGAGCTCATAGCGGTAAAGAATTATGGGATGATCGCATTCCAGAGTAATCTGGGGAACGACAGGTAACTAACCGAGTGACTTTTCATGTCCCGGATCGTGAGGGAGGCGGAGCAGCAAGAAATCGGCGCGCATCCGAGGACCTGCTCTAATCAATTCAATCTAATCACTGCTCAATCGCGGAGCTTTCTTCAATTCCAGCCATGATATTTTAACACGCTCGCTTCCCGCCTTTCGATTCACATTACTAAACTCGCTCAGGTCCGAACCAAAATCCCCAGTCTTTCGGATCACCCAATGAGAATACAACTCTCTCAACTCGGACTTCCAGCTCCATCACAGTTGCAAGCTTTATAAAGTGAGTCTCTACTCTGTTGGACGATTGCCAAGAATGTCTCGGAGGAGCGGAGGAGCTTACAACTACATACGCCTATTAGGTAGAATACCGTACTACAACAGATGGGACGAACGCAAAGAGTAGCCTGAGTCGTTCGAAGCAAGAGCAGACGTTATGCTACTCAGGCTCTGACCCCAAAGCATCTAGAGTAGAGCAACCTACGCAATGTCTTAGTCAACAACGCAGCACTGTGCTTCTCCGCGAGACATCTCTTGGCAACAGTCGAGGCTAAACTGCGTCAAATTAGCACCATCAACGGAATATCCCATATTGCTGTGAGGGAAAGAAGGCGGATATCCCGAACCTATTTTGCGCAGCTCCTGTCATTCGGATATGAGGCGAGCCGGATATGTATCGAGACAGAGAAACCCCACTGTAGGTGTTATAGGCGCTGGGAACAATTGTTGGGGATCGAATAAGTGCATACCTAAAGTACTAGGACAGAGGTTTTGGTAATATACCCTTTTTACAGCCAAAGTAGCCATGTTTAGCTACCCGAAGCAACCACCCAACCTCATCCAAAAAATTCCAAAGTTTCAAGGACAGCTGGGAACTATCTTAAGACGGAGCACAGAGAATTCTAGAATTTTAAGTCCATTCTTCAGGTGTGTGCGATCTAATTTTTAAAGTCATGATTTGAGTGTTTCTGATTTTGTATGGTGTTCCCATACAAATTTCGTGTTGCACCGGCAACCAAAACTTCTGTACTTAGGCCCGAATCCCGCCTGTCATCTGGTTGCAACACACACTTCTAACCCCCAAGGGACGCATTTAATGGATTACGCGTTGAATTGAGAGGACCCTGCATTATTGCAAGTGATTACTCTTATTCAGGAGAAATCAAATTGAGAGCGCCGAATACCAAATCCAGACCTTGCGAACTGACCACCGCACAAAGTCAACCCATAAGAAAACGTAACTAACAACACCCTCCGGGATCACAAAAGCCATTGTGGCTTGACTACTTTGTAACATTATTGAGTGGTCACACAAGCAGTGTCTTGAACATTTCGGACTTGGCAGGGTGGTACAGGCTTTAGGCGTGTAAAGATTCACTAGACTTGGACGATGGAAACGGATCTCGACCAATATATGTCACCGGGTGTGAAGCCAAATATTCCTTCGAATATCAAGGTCACCAGACTTTGAGCAGGCCTAAAAACTGAGAACGAAATTCTTGACATAGCGCAACTAAAAGCTTCGATTTTGAATGATTAACATGTGTGCGCGCTATATCTGGGAAGTCTTAAGACTTTACCTCAAGATACAAGATAAATAATGAATGATCCTGATGAGGCTCAGAGGCAACTTCAATAAGAGAATTAAATTTTTAGGGAAGAGATAATCTCGCGATTTTTCAAAAATATAAGTGATTGTATGTTTTAAAATTGGTCCTGGCCATTTTCGCAGTCAAAGACCTCTTCTAAAAACTGGGAAATACAGGAGGGTATTGCGGATAGTCTGTCATATGAGAAATTATTCCCAGTCTCGAGACTTTTCACAATACACAATGCACGGCCCGCATGTTAGGAAATCCGAGTCTTCACTCTTTATCGGTGGAGGAAAATATAGGACTGCCTGGGTTAGTACCTTTTTAGTCTTATACCTATTACTGGCACTGTCAAAAACACCAAAAGACCTGAAGATAACCTCGACATGTCCTCTATCCTCTTACACCTTTGTATCATTGTGGATCCCCAATATCTGAATAACTAAGATACAAGGGAACTATAGAAGTAAAGCCGATTGGTCCCTGGACCCTGAGACATATATTCGCATACGAAGTGCTTAGTTCATAGGGAAATGCCTATTGCTGGAAGGGCTGCACAACGCGATCCGGTGGCCCTTAGGATCGCCGGCGGCCGAGAGGAACGCTAATAGGATTGTTGTGTTCTAACAACAAGCATGTAGCCAAGCATCTCTCACTACCTTAGATCTCTCTTACTAAGCTTTCTTAGGTGCGTAGACCAGGACGCCTAGCACAAGATATTTAAGACTCATTCATTGATGGTGGACGGCACTCCCCAGCTGGCTTTTAGATATTGATCTGCGTGTTATTATTTGATAGTAGAACTGATAATGTCGGGCTTTCTAAAGGTTGTGAGGTGGATTGAGTATCTAAGGCAAAATAAACCTTACTCTGGTGGGCCTTCTAAACTCAAGGTTATTTACTCGCTCTCCACACCATAGGGGGCCATCTAGAAAAATAGAAAACCAAACCAGCAATTAGGCCGCGAAAAGACAAAATACATGGAGAAAATGAAATGAGGGATATTTCCGAGTGATAATCCATGTTTAGACCTAGCTGATTCCTCTGAGATTATCGACTCCTAGAGAGCCCCAAATAATATAAAAGGGTCCGTATATATTAACGAGAAAGGATAGCATTGATACTTACAGGTATATATGATGTTCTTTGGCTATGTAAAGTATACATCCTTGTATTTAGCTTTTAAGATGTCGAATCCGAACGGGTCGACTGTTCATACATGTCATGTTGACAACTATCACTGGCATATCGAGACCTATATAACTTGTCACTATATATTTAATGAGTTTGTGCCGACTTAAAAATTAAAGATCACCTGGCTGCCTCGTCCTATGTACTTGCTCAATAATTTTTTACGATGTATAAATCCGAGTGATCGTACATGATCCCAAAGCCCAGGAATACTTCCCCTCACGGAGGGGCTGCCGCCCCCCCGCTCATGACCATAACCTTACTTCGAATGACGTAATTTGAAATAAGCCAAAAGTAATACTTGCGATCGTATGAGAACAGGCTCCTAAACTTGTATCAGCCAAATTTTATACCAAGACAACGACTATTGCAAGATAATCGATCGGCAACCATGCCAAAAGGATACTTCCATCTGGCTCCTAACCGTATACCAACAAAGTACCAGCCAACCTCGTAGTCAAATCTAAATGCCCACCCACTCACTCACTCACTCACAAGTACCGCCTGAATAATTGAAGTCCGAGTGAACGCTCAAATAATTTAAACTCTCGCCTATCGCTCGACAGGAAAGACTCGCAATTTTGTAACGGCGTTTTGGCAATACGGACGGATATCATGTTGGGGCGTAAAGAGTATGCATTTCGCAGCGGGCTAGGATTTGTAATACCGGTTTCCTTTATGTTCTATCGGTTTCCATTACACGGACATATGAGTCATACTCGGACTGGAGTTATTGAATATATAAAGGGGTTCTGTCTCTCGCTTCTGTTCTCTTTCTCTATTTCCTCATTACGCAACCTTTTCGTTCTCTCGCTGGCCTCTGGCTTGTAGAGTTCTTCTGACCTTTCTTTTGCTTTCTATCTCGTTGCTTGACTGCTTTGATGCTCTAAATTGCACTCACCCCTCTATCGAGTGAGTAGCAAAACTTGTCCTACTGTCCTTGAACACTCATGATGGGGGATGGGGGGCAGTAACTGTATACTGTTTACTTGCTATATCTTAGCAGAACTGACCCTGCCTCTATTCCCCTTCATCGTATACTTTGCCTATCGAAGTATTGAACTTGGATTTATTCATTTTCCGAGTGGCCTGCCTATCGAAAAGGTTAACCCTTGGGTGCACTCCGAATACTTCAACTCAGCGAAATGTCCTGAAAATGCATACATCAAATGGATATACCGAGATACGATGCAATTTGTTGACGACGGTCCGTAACTGTCACATTCGGAAGCAGGGCTGGAAGTCCAAGTACAACTGCAAGCTCCTGGCATTGGAGCACTAAGGCATGTTAGGCCCGGATTTTACTCATGTGCATAGATGTAGAGGAATATTACCTGTGAGTATAAGCAAGTCGTCCCGAGTGATCGGGCCAGCTTGTACTCCGTCTAGGTAGCGGAGATGTGCTTTGTTTCCACACGATGTGTTGTATAGACGCAATAGAAGCAACGTTTGACTGTATTACTGATAAGTACCCTAATAGTTATGTATGTCAGAGGGTACAAACTCTCTGGATATTTGATCAAAACAGAGCTGGAACTCCCGTCTCATTTGGTCCAAAGTCCGTTGTAACTGAGCACACTGCTCATCGTGTCGATAGGACTCCCGTTGCCACTGACGGAACTATCCCCGAACTTCGTCCTGGAAATTTTGGGCTTGATCTAGTATTTGAACCGTAGGATGGTTGGAGGAATCTGATTTCCAAGATCGGTAAACGCTCTTGCAATGATGACGGGATCCGGTTGAGCTATTTAAGATGGATCCCTCGAGGAACTCCAGAAAGAACTAATTATATGGCTGTCGTCCTGCCCGTTGTTGTAACGGAGATGGAGAAAAAGACCAATAGTTTGGGCCTGTGGGCTTGGCGTTCTGGACGGTGGCGAGTGTCCAGGTGGCAAATCCATACAAAAAGTGACTTCCACTCTTGCAGGGGGGGGGGGGGGCTAACAAAACTAAAGTTTGGACAATTGGACATCCAGGAGGGGGGCAGTCTGTCAGTACGTGTTATGTGTCTTTGTCCTTGTTCCTCAGTGTTTGAATGCTTGCGATTCATTGATTCGGCGAGGATTATTTAGTTCTGTTAAGCTGTCATGTCGGCCACGATATTTAAATGTTTGTTTTCACTCGAAGTAGAGTTATGGATGGAAGCGGGGGGGCGGCAACCCCTACATGAGGAAAGGAACCATTTTCTTTAGATTTTGTTTCATCTACTAGCTATAGTATTCACAACTATGTTTATATCTATGGGTTTGTGTATTTAATGAAGCGGGGGGCCCTGTCTATCGTGAGATTTGACGTGAAGTGTTTGAGCAAAGCGGGATGTGTTAACTAACTGAAGGAGTGAGTTAGTATCACACTAGAATTATTACATGCGATAGAGGAAATATATGGAGTTTGGTTTATAGCTTATAGATTTGCTCGCACAAACCGTATCCAGAGATCAGCAATCATATTAAGTAAGGTGAAAGGTCTAGAAAGAGCCGAGAAAGATAAAATTGCCTTTCCCTAAAACATTGTATGTGAAACGTAAAGCATGCACTAAACGACCTGCTTCAATATGATGAAGGTCCGAAAACCGATTCATCCAAATTATCCAGCTAGGTATCTACAGTACCTGTAGGCAAGCGTCTCGAGAATGTACGTGAGGCGTTGCTACCTAGCCCTCCAAGGAAACCCACATTCTGATCATTTCCATATCGCACGTGCCACCCACAGATCGGCACTAAGACTACCGAGTGGTTTAGAGTTTGGCTGGTCGTGTGGTGGCAGATACATACAGAGAACGAAGGAACAGCATGATGCATCACACTTTTCCTCCTCTAGAATTAAAGGCTGAACATCTAGAAAATATACTTAAAAATTTAGCGGTAACTACGGGTCAAACAAAGAGTTTCGCAATATTTTCTACAATGCCGTAATGGGTTTATTAGAAACACTCGATAGGCATCATTTGGTGCGAATGAAGTCCCCGCAATTTTTCTACCAGTGTGGATCGAATTAGAAGACAAAACATTTCGGAATCATGATCGAAGAATAAACAAATGAAAACGTCAAATAAAAGAAAAATACATAGGATAGTTCACATAAGCGTGACTGCTCCAAAATATTTACAGACAAAAGATTAAAATGTGCCATCGTTTGATTTCTCCAGGTGTCATACCCTCTCCTCAAAGTTAACCTGCACCTCCGTGCTCTTCATGATCACCTCCCGTTCTATATCCCCATCCCGTAGATACTCTTCGCTAGCTGTCTCACTAGTGGTATCCAACTTTGTCGCCGTTCTAGGTCCTTCAATCCTCGTCCTCGGCCCAAATCTCTCAGTCGATGTGTTGCCATCTCCCATCACGCTCCCGCGCCTGGTACTAACAGACCTAAGCGCATATGCTGTCTGCTGCCTCGAGAGGGAGCCGGGGAAGTGACGCGAATGTCGGTTGCTCTTGTTTCTGCGATTGTTGTAGTCGGGGTTGTTACTATTGTCTGATATGGCGCCTGAGCTGCCTAAGAGCCCGGGAAGGAATTTAGAGAAGAGGGGTTTGATAGCAGGGGCGGAACCACAGATTATACCAATCAGAACTTCGACTCTATAGAATAAGTCAGTAGTTGAGATTGAACTCTCGGGGTGGAGGCGGTATTTACAGCGACCATATTCCGAGGTTCATATTATCCCACATGGGATCTGTCGTAGTGAGTGATGTCTCGACGCTGGAGAGACGCAGAATACCAGCCAAAACACTCCTACCCGACCACTTTCATCAGTATCTTCATACACCGGGTTGTCGCACTTTGTCTTGAAAAATACTCACATACTACCCATTGAGAAGATCACCAACAACACAAGTTTCTGTCTCAACGGCATCTGGATGCTCCAAATCGTCCTTAATGGCAACAACCAAATCACTATATCTGTGAATATGTTTATTGGAAATAGCGAAAAGTTGAGTGGTCGCTGTGGCAGACAAACGGCATGGACCTTGTTTCCCTCCGATATGACCTCCCATATGAAAGATGCAGGCACACACTGTACAGCTGAGAGAATGAATGCAGCAATAGTGTATGCGACGACGAAGTAGAAAATCCCCCAAGATATCTTTGAAAGACGAGTGCTGGGGGCAAGACGAATAAGGAACAGGAGTAGGGAGCACTTGGTCAGGCCAAGGGCAAGGAAGTAGTGCATCATGGCAACATAACCCATCTACGGAGGTATTAGAAATTGGTGATAATATAAGGCCTGAGAGAGTATTTTTGCCTTTACTGCCATCTTTTGTGCCTCTATAGATGTTTTCCAGGTATGGCGCCCAACTCCACCCATAACACCTGCGTGAACTATCAGTTTCCTACTCTCGTACAGACATATACAAGATATCATTTCTCACCTATACAATTCGTAACCAGGATTGGAATAGCGACGATCTTTCCCACAAATAATAATAAAGATTAGTATCAACTTCCCCAAATTCTAAGTGACGTCAATGCATACCGTTGCTAAGATCATACACCAATCATCACTGCCCATCCTCCTCAACAACACAGCCCTACAGTATATCCTCCCAGTCAAGACTAGAACTGCTATTATCATCAACGTTATTCCCGTAATCAATAGCCTTGGACCGCGGTTTTCGTCATCTCCCAAACTGGCCCTTTCCAGCAACGTGTGCATCTCCATTGACTATCACACAGAGCCGAGATTTCGGAATAAATGGTCAAGTGATTATAAAATACTTAAGCTATTGAGGTTGATATTGTTAGTATATATGGCAAGTCTAGGGTTACATGTGAGTAAGGCGGGGGTGGGGGTAGGGGTAGGGGTCTTAGAGATTTTCGCAGACACGAGTGCAAGTGCAGCTCGACTGCATCAGATGCCGACTAGGCATTACTCGGTATGAGGATTCCTTGGGGAGAATGGGAAGACGGGGGAACTAATGAGTATTATAGAATCAGCACATATAACCACATCCACCTATTTACACACCTCTGGGGTGGCATTACTGCTTCGAATCAGTTGGAAAACTCTGTGCATCCTCAGGGGCGAAATAGTCTAAACTATCACAACCTGGAAGTTATGGTATCCTCTTTCCAGGTTCAGGCTGGTTTGAAGTGTGGTTTGTTACACCAAAACGCCATACAAAACGTGGTTATGACTTTCCGTCCAGCCATGTGCAAGTGCCAACCTACAGAAGATCATGATCGGAAGCGCAGGATCTGCCCGTCCAATAGACTCCGAGCTGAGAATAAACAATCTTACTTTCTGGTTTTGTCACCCCAGGGGAATCCCGGGTACCAGGGATTTGGGACTTTTCATTACATTGCAGCATTCCAGAAGGCCTGGCAAGCGTGAATCCTTGGGGGTGCAGCCTTAGCTCGGCATAAACCACCAATAGAACATCTTAAAAGTCCAGGCCTTTGAATCTAGGAGTTAGAGGGCGATGTTCAACGTCTTTGTGGACCCTTTCCAGGCTGAGACCAGGGTCCTCATTAGGTAGGTAGAGCACATAATATATTCCCATTGAAGGTCTGTACGTACCTGATATATACTCTTCTGCTCTAGACTGGATACTGTAAAACCATCACATAGCCCACATATGTACGCCACAGCAATTACTGCGAGACCGAGGCTCCACAGATAACTAACACTAGGTGTATGTGGACTAAGTAACTAGCCACAAACAAGTTGTTTCATCCCAAGTAACCGAGTGCGGTAGTTCCCGCCAAACCCAAGTACCTATGGGGGGCGGGGAAGCCTTGTCACGGAGTAGTTTAGACACCTCGGCTTTGACCGCTTATAGCTCATCCACCACCACACATATTGTTAGATAGATCTGCTCAGTTTCACCTGCTTTATCGTTCTATCTGCTCAGATTTTTAAAATCATTCTTCGTTGTTGAGTTGTGAAAATATTTTGGCTAGGACAACGTCGTTTGTATGGTACTTTTCCTCGTCCTAGACCACTCTTTGCACGTAATTTGTATGTGTTAGTAAGCAAAATCAATGTCGCGGCACTCTGTGTCAAGGTTTCCCCCACCATACTAGCCTCATCATATCACTTGTACTAGTCAAAAAAAAAAGAAAGAAATCAACCCCGCATTTCCGTAAATGTAAAAGTAACGAGCTTGGCTCCAGAATATGCAATACCAACTGCGGCTACCCCTTTCAATCCCAGGTTTTGGATTAGGCACTCTACAGTTAGTACTAGACTGGACTTAACGTATGTAAGTTAGAGTTCTTCGGGACCCCCATTCTTGTCAAACCTGTGGTCAGTCTTAGACAGGAGGTAAGTTCATATAACTAGGCCAAATAACGAAGGCCATAGGTGAATGAACGGAAAAAAGGGTTCCGGGAGACTAGTTATCACTCTGAGTTCTGGTAAATGAGAGTAAATCTAATATCTAGCGGATAGAAGATCAAACAAACCTTGAGTATCCGTTATGTCATGATAAAAATCCGTTCACATCCTATGAAATTGGTAAATATACACGACTATGAGGCGCGCCAGTAAGCTAGCAGTACCTACATAGGAGTTACTGAGCCTCAGAATATGCTGGTATGCCATGATGCGATTTTCCTTCAAGCGAAGGGCATTGCAGTGACACTTTAACGCAGGTAGAATGGACAAGTGAGGCCCTTGCATCAAGCCTCGCAGTTGAGTGCTGTAGTGTCTTTCCTGGAGAGATTACTTGGGACTTTACTTCTTATTTGGGAACGGAGCATTAGTGATGGTCACCCTTAACTATAGTCGCACCTCGCTATCTCGTAATTCGATATCTCGGACCTCTTGCTGTCTCGTACGAATTTGCGAGACAGGTACTGCCCTTCTCCACCAAAAACTATTTGCTGTCTCGTATATTTGCTGTCTCGTAGGGGTTTGGCTCCCAGAATACGCTAACGACATAACGAGGTGCGACTGTATGTAGGTACCCATCGAGTAAGGGTTTAGTATCAACTTAAGTATATAGCAGCCGGCTTACCCACTGCTTAGGACAGATCCCCGGGTACTTACGTAACCTTTACTTAGGCTATCCGCCCTATGTGATCTACTGTCGTGAAAATAAGAGTATCGGTATCAGGGCAGGCATATGTAGAGTAGAACACCCAGGACCCGGGGAATCGTGAAGTGCAAGGATTTCATAGATGGCTAGTATTGAATAACTCAAATCCATACCTAATAAGCAATTACAATTTTGCCTTCACTGCTGCCATTTCCTTCCTCGCCAGTTCTCTCAACGCATTTTTCAATATCTTACCACTTGCGTTTTTCGGGATTGCATCCAAAAATACAACTCCACCTTCAAGTTGTTTATATGATGCCACTTTTGTCTTCATGTATTCCTTGACCTCCTGCTCCTCAAGGTTTGATCCAGGTCTCCTGACAACATACGCCCTGGGAAGCTCGGACCCATGTGTTTCGGCAACAACTCCGATAACCGCTGCATCAACGATGTGGGGATGTTCCAGTAGGATTCCCTCCAGCTCTGGTGGGGCGACTTGAAAGCCTCGAACCTTAATAAGCTCCTATAAGAGCCAAAGTAACGATTGTTAATGCCAATCCACACAAACGCAGGGGTCCTACAGGGGTTTACCTTTTTCCTGTCGACAATGTACCATTTCTTGGTTTTGCCATCGCAAAGACCAATATCACCGGTATGGTAGAAGCCATCCGAATCATAAGACTCTCGGTTCGCCGCGTCGTTATTATAATAACCTTTGATCATTGTGGGACCCCTGAAATTTTGAAAGAAAATAAGCCACAACTCCGCCAAGAGCACCCATCAGAAAAATACCTCAAGCAAATTTCGCCTGGAGTATCGTAGGCGCTGATATTGTTTCCTGCACCATCAACCAATCTGAAAATGCGTTAACTATATTTAAGTAACTACCAAAACGGGGAAGGATCTTACTTGGCCTCAAGGTTTGGCAACAGTCTTCCCACACTGCCCGTATCATCGTCTTCCATGTTGTGAAACATGGTTGCGATACAAGTGCTCTCAGTCATCCCCCATACTTGATTAACTAATGGGTTCTTGTCTGGGTTGACTGTGTTTTTCAGTCTTGCTTGAATATCCTTGCTCAATGGCGCTGCACCAATGAGTACGGTTTTAATGTTACGAAGCGAATACTTTTTCGTTAGTGGCGACATAACTAATAATACAGCGAGCGGCGGTACAAGTCCAAGCTCATTGATACCATATTTCTCAACGGTTGAGAGGTAAAGCTCAAGATCAAAACGGCGCAGAATGTAAGCTGTTCGACCAGCCCTTAAGAGGACTACATGGGCATGTGGTACACAAGCCACATGGAACATGGGAAGCGGTATAATGGAAATCGGCTATCCAATGTCAGCAGAGTATCAAAAATACTCTCGTCATTACGAACCTCGTATGGCTTTGGCTTAAATTCGCTTACTGCAACATGCTGAGCCATAAGATTCAGATGCGATATATCCACCGCCTTCGGCAGCCCCGTGGTCCCGCTACTAAAGAGTCTGAATGCGGTTGCCTCCCGCGCTAGCCTTTCATCGTCGAATCGCACCCAGTCACTTTCCCCCTTTGTCAGCAGCTCTTCCCATGATTTTTCCCCAGCTGGCACTTTCTGATCCTTCAAAGGATGGAATATCCAGATATCCTTGATATTTATGTCGCTCTTGTTCGCAACTTCAAGGATAGTTGGGAGCATCTCCGGCTCGGTGATAATGAATTGCGCATTCGAGGCTTTGATATGGTATTCCATCTCTCGCGCTGTATATGCGGGATTAGTGGCAGTGAAGACACCACCAGCCGCTACTATACCGAGAACCAGCATTGAGTAGTAGATCTTTAAAGGTCTAGATCAGTATTATGTTATCTCGCACCTTGTATCAGTACACAAACCGCCGGAACACTCACATCATTAAAAGCATGGACTAGCACACAATCTCCCTTATTTAGTCCGGCATCTCGTAAACCTTTCGCAAGTTTTCGTACGATACTCTTCGCAATTGCAGAAGTGATGAACCTCGTCGTGTCACTCGCATCGATATATATCTACTCAACACAATCAGTCTCGCTGTGCTCTATATCTAGCTAGGTAGAAGGCTAAGTACTTGCTCACCTTTTTATTACAATCGTAACCTTGATCGTCAAACATCCAAGAGAGCAGGTCTGTTGTGGGCAACGGGCCCGTCTTAGGCCCCGCGAAGAATGGGGAGGTAGTTTTCGACATTGCTAATGCTAAGCCTTCTTGATTGATTGATCGCGCGAGGGGTCTGTCAAAAAATTACGGCGTTGGCCTGTTATAAACCCAACTCTTCGCTTATCGGATACGAGGGTGCCGAGGCAGGCGTGGCCGTAACCCAAATCTGTATGTATTATTAGTAATCTCAACCATTCTGAGCGTGGTCAGCTGCAGCTGGAGGTCTCAGTGATAGAGAAACAGTACTCGATCCGCGTGAATATGGCATCGTGCGTTTCTGATAGGCGAAGCTCTAGCACGCTAAAAGCATACTTATGCCCCGACTGTTGATAGGTATGTAGATATGTAAATAGTGGAGCATTATTAATTTAAACTAGAGTAGCCATAGATCCATAGAGATATTCGGGGGTTTCATCTGGTTCCTATGTTTTCTACGTGGCCGTTAATGAAGTGCTCTATTCTCGTACTTTCTCCTTGCCAGGGAGATCATTTTCATAATGAGAACCTACCTGTCAAGTTTCTCTTCTCCGAAACAACAGGAGGATTGCCCGATTGCGAATTCTGTTGGTTTAAGTTGCTTTTCCAAACGATAGATGAGATCAGAGATCCGATGACAATATGTGAAGGCTTATGAAGGGATGGATTATAGAAGGAGATGAGTGGGTGTCGTTGTAACAAACTGATGTAAAGTGTGAAAGTACGAGCTCCCGAGGGTGAGAGTTGATAACATTCTAGGAACCCTAACCCTCACAAGGCTTCTATCATCTCTTAGCTGTAGTTAATCCCGTTAATGTGAGCGCATCACTTGGACTCTCGGGGTTCTTCAACGAAACTTGTCATCTTTGCTTATCCCCCCCTTTACAAAATATACATCACAAGTCTTCTGGATCTATCCCTTCACGCAGGCAATCACATCCGTATATGCATGGGATGGTCTCTTTTACCGTTCAGTATCACCACCTCAAACGCCAGTTGCAACTTGTCGTTCCCAACTCTCCTCCATCCATATCTCCCTCCATTCAGTTGGCAATACGCCCTCCGCCAAAACCAACTTTTCCCCTACGGGATCCTATTCTGCCAGAATGTACATTTGTACAATCTTTATGAACACTCGATCAAGGTATACAATACTCAATTGCAACCTCCGCCCCCTCACCTCCTCCTCATCAATCATCCTGCTGTTTCCCCACATCAGTCACCTTGCATTGGAGGCATCTCGCTTAAGCATGTCATATCTAACAGGAATATATTCCGACATACTTAAGCTTAAGCGATAGTTATTTTCTTGCCTCGGTAGTTAGGATGGATCTCCAACCTTCTTGATCTGCGCATTGTGGGTTCATATACCATCACTCGCCCCAGCTGCAGCTCTCCGGGGTGTGCCGTGGCAGGTGATACAACCAGGAACCTGCGGACGTTGTGACAGGAATGGCATGATGCTTGTATAGAGAATTCTCCGAGATTTCTCCTGAATGCTCGGAAATGGCTCTTTCTCCCGGGTTAGTATTCTGCGGCGCGTGCACTGCAAAGGCATGTATCAATGGTAGCCAAAACCTCCGCTTTTTTAGAAGTACAGCTGCTCTACATAAAAGATAATACCCTGCACATTTTATGATTTAAAGATATCAGACTTCAGACTCGAAGCGAGTGAAAACACTAGCTATCACTTAGAGCCGTCTAAGACTACCCTTCTCCGTGCATTGTTGAGCTATAATTGCGGACAAATATAACACCTCAGGCAATCCACCGGCGCCGCGCCGCCGAACAATCCTCCAGCCTGTCCAAACCCGTTCACCCCTAACCCAATGGTCAACCCCACCATATCTCACAACAACAACCGGCCGGCCGGCCCTACCTCGTGCATCCCAGCACCCACATATATCCGAAACCAGAAAACAAGCTTCGGCTAAACCAAGGGAGGTGCGGTAGTATGTATGTATATGTAGGTACCCCAACCTGTCAAATTTAATCGTTAGTCGCGGGATTTTATGGGATTTCTGTCCTTGATATTAATTGCGGGGACGGGCCCCCATAACTGTTTTCGTGAAGGTGCAGCTATAGGTACATGCAAATATGTTTCAACAAGTATGGGGAAATGTTTCCGACAGTTGGGAAGTGTATGAGTATGCGCATGTTTAATGGATTTACGTACATACTTAAAACAAGATCCCGATACAAAGCTCTAACAGACGTAGATTCTTGTTCCTGCATTTGTGTAGAGATGGGGCAGCACTTTGATCATACACGTCTATAGAGTGAATGTACCAACTTTATAATACCATCCAACTACGTAAAGTTGAGTGTTTACTTCGTTTTTTAATTTATTTCTTCAATTCATTACAGCTCAGTTCTTCCATTGACAAAGAAAATGTACAAAAGAAATATAAATGTAATTACATGTGAATTCCTAACCCTTCACCGATGCCCAGAACCATCTCCCGAGGTTTCATATTTTACCCTCCCGCTCGTAAGAAACCGCCGAAGCCCCATCTTTTATCCTAGTATCTTCCATAGATCCTCCTGCCATGTTCTCTACGGAGATTTCTATGTTCGTTGACTTATGTATAACATTAGGTTGCACAATCCTCTCCTGGCTCTCGTTATCCACGGTGGAATCCCGCACGATCTTGTTCCTCCTCTCGCTTGACTGGCCCATTGTATACAACTCCACACTCGGCCCTGGCTTTGGGTATGTCCCTTTTTGTCCGGCGCCGCTGAAGCTGGTGGTCATTGTTGCGCCGGTGATGCGCTGTTTGACGCGCCGGAAGACTGGGTTGAGTGACGGGAAACAGAGCATAATCAGCCCAGTATGTATCTCTAGTTGCGTCCATAGGGCAGCGAAGGTTATGTTCCCTGTATTTATTGTTAGTTTTTATTATACAGTGAACCTTAAGCTGGATTAGAGGCGTCTACAGGTTCTAGATAGAGAAAAGTGGTTAGCATTCTGTTCAATCAAAGATGTACCGTACATACATGTACTCACGTATTTGTTCCCATATCCACAGTGGTAATGATAGATAACCTGATAATCCCCGCAACAACGACAAACGACCCTAACAGTACTTCATTAGTCGTTTTATCCAATAATATGGCCTAGATATGAGACCCACCAACACTCAGCAGCAATGCAATCCGAAATCTCATTTTGTGGTTCCAGATATGCTTCCACACAAATATCATTGGCACAGCGAATAGTGCCACATCAATTCCAATCCCAAGTCCACTATGGGTATACATCAAATGCGCTTCCGCCTCTCTGCTCATACATTTCTTTGGAAGATCGTGTAGCCAAAGCGCTCTATATATCTATGTGAGCTTGTGGCACAGCTATAAGGGGGAAACGGTACATACCGAACCGGCTGGCACTGCAGTAGAAAAACGAAGAAGAAAATGAAGTGCTGAACTGTTAATATTCCTGTTGCGACCCAAACTCCCATACTGGCCTTGACTATTTTTTCAACAATTTAGTTAGTTTGATTTCGACCGTAACTCTTCGTTAGAGATGACGTACCACCAGAGATCAGGCGGCGAATGAATAAAACACCCGATAATCGGACGAAATAGACAGCATTAAATGTAACAAGTTGAAATATTGGAAGAGTCTTTATTTCCATCTTGTTAGTTGGCAAAGACTTATGAGTATCTTCTACATATCATTCTGGGTTTACCATAAAGAACTTTTCTAAGTCCGCCGGATCCACTTCGTCGATTTGTCGGCCCATTCCAAAGTTGATAGCTGGCCCGCGGTTTTATCTTAGCCAATAATCTTACTCTGCTTCTTCAAACACAAAAGAAAGTGAATATACCATCAAGCTCTAAACTAGCTGTTGTCACTGCAAATATCTGCCATAACCCAATCCAATCAGCGCCGCTCGCTCCAACTCCAAAACTCAAGCTCACCAGCGCAACAAAAGCCGCCAAATCATCCAAGCCCAAACTATTCGAAATATATTTCCTCGTATAAATCCTCGCTATTACTACTGCTGACGACACTGCTATCAGTGTGATGTTGCAGTTTCTCGTTATATAGCTCCTGTCGGCGGGGCCCTCATAGCGCGGGACCAGTACAAATTGCTGAGGGCGTGTTACTGGCATTGTAGAGATTGCCACCATCGTTGGAGTACTTTAAGTCTCCGAAAAATCCAAACAAACCTCCTGTTGATTGCTCTCAAACTTTTTTGCTTAGGTCATTTCTTCCGGGGGTTTGCTGGACTTATCTATAAACCCGCCGCTGGGGTGTAGGGGGCAGTGGCATATCATGAAGTACGCTTGGGATGGCAAATCAATACCAGCGATCTAATGAGAAACACCGACGGAACATACAGCGGTACTCGTTTTTTTGCTTATTGCCCGCCGCCGCCCCAGAATGCGAGAGAGAGTGTGTGTGCCAGGAACATCCGCGCGTGGCCTGCACGCAAAGGAATCGAATCTGCAAGGCTCATTTCGGCAAATTGGTAGGCCTCCAGCTGGAAAGATTGACCACACCGCTGCAACCTATAGGTATGCAAGAGCTTCGGACCAATGGCCAGGGTTTTCTGGCACCGGGGATCAACCAGGTCTGTAAGTGCTGCCCAGAAACACAGGTATCCCTTAAGCTGATAAGGTAGAAAACATCATCTTCCAAGGAACAGTAGGTATGTAGCTGTCACATGGCTAAGCGTCTAGCAGGTTTGGAGACGAGACAAAACCGTACGATAATTGTAGGGAGTTTCGCACGATCAAGGCGCGATAGGGGATGTAACCACATTATCGTCTAGTCAGTATCTTGGGGAGTTCTTGGGTTTCTGAATACATATAAGAGAGTAATAGTAAGTAAAACCAAGGAACAACCCGGATTACGAAATGCTCGATAACTGTTGGTCCAAGAACACCTCATTCTATCTTTGGCGCTACATATGATGCACGGTAGGTGCACTTGTCAGATTTAACTTTATTCCTCAGCTTGTAGGAGGTCCGAGATTGTACACTAATGATTCTGGGCTATGGGTTGCTATTCAAACACCTCGGAGGTTCTTAAACATAACGTAAATCTTGCACGCACCCCAATAATTGCGATCGAGAATACTACTAATTCATAATTCCATTGACCGGTCAGAGATTAAGCTTTGGAAACCGAGTCATCGATATCCGCTTTGTAATATATGTATATTGGGAAGCTGATGCCATATATCTGAATTAGCAAGGAAGGATGAAGATGAGCAAGTGCACTCCGTTCCAGGAATCAATTATTGTGTATGTAGGTACCGCCTAGGGCATTATGCAGCCCAGCCTGAATTAGTTTTGCCAAATAGATACCCTAACCGATTACTATCACATTCCCGGCTGCAGAAGGACGCAGGGAACATCAGACGTGAGAACTCAGATAGGAAGTCACTCTTTTCTTTGGGAATCCTACATGAGGGGTTTTGTCCGTGTCTCGAGTCGAAGGAGACATCTCAAAATCCTTTATAATTTAGCGACATCCTCGATAGCCCTATTTGCTCCTTTCGTGCGTCTTCTAGGTATCTGTGTCTCTGGAGTAGATCTAGAACTAAAATTCCATGTATGTAATCAGTTCCTGCACCATCTCCAACAAATCCTACCAGTCAAGTTTCCCCACCCTTCGTATAACAACCAGGGCCCAGCGTCAATCGCATACCAAGCCGCAACAGGTCTGGCTGATCTACATAGACGCGTTATTCTGGAGATCGTGATTTTCCTCCTCGGAATTGCTCCCGAACACAACGCTGGAGTGTGTTCCTGCCCATTGTCTTGACCTGACCCGCCCGTCCCTTTGTCCGAATAGGGGAGGAAAATTGGTTCTACCCGATAGCGAAGCCGGTGCACTCGGTAGTACCGACGGGTCCTCCCGACTCAAATATATTATATTTTATAAATACTATTTTTTTTCTTTCGAAGAATTCGTCCGTCCTTATTTCATCCAGATCCGTCTCGAGTCACCGACTGCCGATAATTAAACTCCAGAGCAGTGAGCTATACATAAAAGCATTTCTTCATGATATTTCTCAGGTAAAGAAAATAGATGCCGAACAGACTTGCAAAGGATAACAGGGAGTGGCTACTTGGCGTGGCTGCTTGGCATTATGTGGCGCAGAAAAATTTGTTTCGTAAACTGTCGAGATCCGTAGTGTGACTGGCCCTAATAGAATTTTCGCGAAGAAAGGCTGCTCTTGGTAGAAGAGTAGCTGGCAATTCGCCCATTTGAATCTGTTCAGATCCACGAGTGGTGTGGTGTAGGTAGGTATTCATGAAGCAGGGCGCCGCCTACGAACATGTGTGTGGGAAGTAGGTATATGTAGCTGTTACATAAGGATCCACTATTCAAAGGATGACTTTACCTACACTGGTACTGTAGGCAACTTGATTATTGTGTATAGCGAGATCCGAAATGAAATGTGATAAAGAATTGATTGTAAAATAAATGCATGTATGATCTAGGTACGCGTCGTCCAGCTTCTAGCTATCAGCGTCCCAGCCGGAACTGCGAGGACCGAGGCCGACGGCAGAGCAGACATCAATTAGCATGTTTATTAACTCCAAATGTTGGTCTCATTGGGGATTCTATCTGCCTACCATACTGAAAGCAGAATGAAACACAGCATGATAATTATTGGGCGTGTAGTCGACGTCTCTTACAGTCTCTGGTCTCCCAAACACGAACGAGAGATACACACGGGGAATAACGGCCCCAATTCGGAAGAGCATTGACCAAAGGATGAGACCTTGCTAGCAGCGATAACTTTATCCCAATCTGAGACGAAGGTGTACTGATCAAGGTAAACAGTGTGTACCTATATGTATGTATCCTGAGGGTTTGGAGCAAACGAAGAGAAACAGGACGGGCGGATGACACTGTGTTACCGGCCCAAATACTTTTAAGCTTTGAAATTGCTAGAAGCCACGGTACTTCGATTTTTACTAGCTACATAGTCAAACAGTTAAAGCTTTCTACATGAGCCTAGATCTAAAGAAGTCCCGTCCAGTTTACCATTATCATCAAAGAATCACGGAAGCGTGGGAACAGAGGGCTCTAAATTAAAACATCGGGACATTGAGATATTAGAGCTTAACTTGACCTTAAGGTTCCCGTACGAGCGTGCTAGCTTATCGGCAGCGGCATTCTACCACTTTCTCCGTTCTCTTTGGCCCAAACCGGTCCCAAAGTGAAGGGTATTCCAGCTGGAACAGCGCCTCGCGAGACGGTTATCTTTAAAGACTTGCATGCATGAGACCTCGAGATCTAGCCTTTACAGCGTACATAACTACATGAACGGACATCTACCGATCAATTATGGATATATATACTGATCCATTTTCCCTTGCAGCATGGTGATGGATTATTCCACTATGTAGGGAAGAGACTGATGGCGCGACTACTCATGATCACTAGACGCGTTATCGGCTGTGTCACCTAGCCGCTGCAGACGGGCAAACCTTCAGCCACGAGCGGAAGGTTCAGTCAACATATAATTCTGCATAGTGTAAATAGCAAATTAACCGCTAAAAATTACAGGCTATTAACATATTCTTGTGTTAATCCATGATTATACAATTGCATAGGATGCATAGGAACTTACCGACGCTGGAATGGAAGATGCCGGTTGACAAAGACGGCTCAAGACGAGTGATTACCTGTGTCGCTTAAGATTCACCCTAGAAATCCGGGGTAAGTACTACTATTACTTCTCGGAAAGGAAGGAGAGTCGACTTGTGATCCTCTACTATGTCTACTAGCCACCATGCAATAATCGCGTGAGCGATCTCCTTCCCGATTTAAGCATATAGTAATTAATAGAAAATTGGGTAGAGCAAGATCAGCTTGCCTGCAGCTTAGACAAGGAGCCATCCTAGAACAAGTCGGTTAGTTACAGTCCGGTTCTAGAATGCATTTGGATCATGAACGACGTTGGACCAGTAAATATCTCACTGGCAGCGGGATATAAGCGCGCCTACTCCTATCTCTTTACATCAATAAAGCATCGCCTAGGCATCAATTGGAGCACTTCTGTCCGCCACCACAGTAGCACCGCCTCCATATGATGGTAGTACATGGTACCATTTTTGGATCAACAGGCTGAAAGGGGTAAGGATCCCTGCTAGAGAGAGACAAAATCGCAATATATGCAATAGCCATATAGTTGTTATCAATATAGGATCGTAGGATGAGTTAACTAGGCTTCACTTACCAAACTTTTCACATGGAAATTATTCAAGTCGGTAAAGGGGGCTTCCGAGATATCCTTACCATAACTCTACTCTACTGACTGTACCGGTGCTGATAGTACTTTTAGTTGTTTATCAGACATACGTAGAGCCTAGCCTTTTATAGACCCTTCCGCAGCAAGCCCTACGGTACTACTACTTATTTGTCAATGAGTAATCATATAAAAAGCCACATTATCTACTAGATTCTGTGATACGTACCTGGAAAATGTACGTACCGACAAGTACACGCAATGCAGGCCCCACGATCGGTACCGATTCCACGAGTTCAGCTATCTATTTGGTAGGAACTGGGAGAGAAAAAAGAATTTGGTAGTCTCTCCATGGCCGGATAAAAACATTCCCTATGCACCTTTGTGGCGGTGTCACCATTCATCGCTGTATCTACCGCGGCGGGAGGGGTGAATACTGGTCGACAGGGTTGTACCCTCATGGATTATGGGTTGAGATGAAAGGATAGGTACCACACGCTTGCATGAACACCATGGTATGGAGTATACGAACGAGAGAGGATGAATTTAGCTGTGAATTTGCAGGTGGCTTAATTTCACTTGTGATTGTAGGTACATGAATGTACGCGTGTGTCTTGGTGTCACTGTGTGATATAAAGACTGCCGCTGTACGTCTTGTGGAATACTTTCTTCCACCGTCTTCATCACTGCACTTCACCTGTGTACTACAGAAGCCGATCAATTCTCCTTTTCTCTCCTCCATAAAAGGCTCAATATCAGATTTAACATCACCGGTAAAATGGCAAATTTCAAATTCACCGCCCTTGTCTGGGGATCACTCTTTGTATTTGCTCTTCTACAACTCTCAGAGGCAGCAACAATTAAGAAATGTTCTTCTCCGATTGTCCGTAAAGAATGGTATCACAACCTATTTCCTTCCTTCACCCGTACCGCATGCAATATATTAATACCTCGAAACATATAGGCGTGCACTCACAGCTAAGCAGCAGCAGAAGTACCTATCCGCTGTGAAATGTCTTCAAAACATACCCGCAAAGACCTGTGCTGCCGTTCCCGGAGCTATCAGTCGATTCGATGATTTCCAGGGTGTGCACATTCGTCAGACAGACTTTATCCACTTTGTGGTAAGGACACACCCACCCACCCATCCCATCCCATATTTCTCTACTAAACACTTGAATTTCCTCCACAGGGCCACTTCCAAGCTTGGCACCGGTACTATCTCGCCACATATGAGAAGTCGCTCCGTGAAGAATGCGGATACACCGGCGCACAACCGTAATTCTCTCCTTCAAAATGGTTACCCTCGGGCCAGTCATAATACTAACTGGAGCAGATACTGGGACTGGACCCTCGACAGCGCAAGCAACGCTACCTTCCTTGCCGCGCCCGTCTTTGCCAACAGTGCCTTTGGCGGCAATGGACCCTACGTCGAGAACGGGACCGTCGTTGGACTTGAGGGTGTCACGGGCCGTACCGGCGGTGGTTGTGTGCCCAACGGATCGTTCAAAGATCTGGAGCTACATCTAGGCCCCGGCACGAACCTCGAGCGCAACAACCAGTGCCTCACCCGTGATATCGCCTTCCCAATTATTCTCAAGTGCCTGACGGCGACAGCAGTGGATAAGGCGCTCGCTGCGGAGAACTACCAGGCATTTGATATGGAGGCGGAGGGTGGAACCACCCCCGAGGCGTTCACATATCATGCCGGTGGGCATCTTGGAATCGGGGGTGCCTATGGAACAATTGCAGACATCTATGCAAGCCCTGGTGGTGGGTTTACTTTCCTCTATATCCATTTTGAATTGTAGAACTGTCGTATGCTGACATATAACCCAGACCCACTATTCTACCTCCACCACGCAAACATGGACCGTATCTGGTGGATGTGGCAGAGCCAGGACCTTGCAACGAGGCTGACGGATATCTCGGGCCCAATCGTGCAGTTTGGCTACCCGTTCAGCAACAACACCAGTGGCGGGAACGTCACGCTGGATTTCAAGATCCATCTCAATGAGCTCGCTGGAAACGTTACGTTGGAGCAGATGATGAACATTAAGGGCGGCGATTTGTGCTACGACTATGCGTAGATGCATGTGGTGATTACGGGGTAACGGTGTTAATACGGTAATAATGTAATGGCCTTGTATGCGGTATCGGATTTAATGGTTTCAGGTATAATGTGTGTGTAGTGGCTGGGAGAGGCTGCTGCGTCAGGGTCTATTGTGAATATTGTACTCTAGCATGAAAAAGGAGTTGTATAGTATGTGGTGCATGTATAATACATACATAAAAGAAACTGCAATCTGATACATGCTTATCCTAAATGCGCAGAGTGAATAAAACCATGAGATGTACTCTACGTAGAGTATCAATGATCGGCAGGTACGCGTACCTCCATCCCTGCTATCTAATCTCCGAGACAAACCATCCCAGTAAGCGACCTGTCGCTGGCGGCGCGGCGGGATCGTGAACGGGCGCGGTCGATACGTAAGGCTGAAGTTGATCGGGTCTCACAGCCGGTGGTGAATCTTGTCGGGTATTCCGGTGGTGTTTGGTGGTGGAGAGGAGATGGTGGCATAGAGGGTCGGTGTTACGGAGTTTTGGGGGGGGGTTCTCGGGGATGGCGGCTAAGAATTGACAGTAGCAGTGGTTTGAGTAGCTACATGTAGATATTGTCAAGGTGGGTGCGTGTAAGGGACGTGTCAAGACGATTTTTATTATTGTGGCTGACGATTTTTCATTTATTTCCATCCTTTGCTCTCCTTTTGTAGCTGTGAAATTATTTCAGCAGAATTGTAGAGTAGAGAGAGTTCTTGAAACCGAAAATACAATGAAATTATACCCTACATAATATGACCGGAAGAAATAAAGAATAAAGGAAAGAGGAATAGTGGGGCAAAATCAGAGACAGAGCGCCTTCCTTTCCCGTGGTGTTGGGTTGCGGGGGTTCATATATCGCTTTCCGCACTCGATCGCAATGCATGTCCTGCCAGCATGCCAAGGATCACTCGGTCGAGTGATATTCTGTGACAAATCCTGTGACACGGCCCGGCCACACGAAGAGATGTACCTACGTAACAGAAACGGTAAAACTTGACGAATTAATCAAGCGAGGAGCAATACAAATCAATCAAGGTCCCCATCACAAAATCTACCTGGCCTGTGCTTTTAATTCTACTGGCTTTGTGTCCTTTGACTTGGTTGCTTGTGGCTTTATCTCCTTTGGCTGGCTACATGTAGATGTAGGCTCGTCCCCTTTCGTTTCGTCAATTTGTCGTGCAGGGCATTAATGTGAGTTTTCAGATGGCCATGGGTCCTGCGAGTTTGTGGGCAGTATGTGGGTACATATAGCCAGCTAGTGTTGGCAGTCTTTATCCTTATAATCGGTACTATTTCTAATCACCCTAACGAGAACACTTATTGATGGATGACTAGATGGCTTCGTTAAGCACGCTATATACACTATCACTAAAAAAATGTTGGCGTTGTAGGACGTACTGAGGAGGCCACTCGAACTGGGAATTGGATTTCTTTGGATAAGTATTACATACATAGAGAAGCTATAGTCATGCGGTCCACGAATAGTCATTCCGGATCCAAGAGTGAGTTACCAATCTACCCCTACCACAAAAGCAAAAAAGAAGAAGAAGAAAAGTACAGAATTTTATTAATTGTTAATGGAGGGCAGATTTATAGCTCCACATCTCCAACCAGCAGCCTCATTCTTCTAAGACCGAAATACTGTCAACTCTCCCCCCCACGGCGCTGTCGTTCCCCACCACCCCAACACAAACCTCCCACCCGTCACTGGGTAGCCTCTGTAGTTCTGGTAACAACTTTCCGCCAACAGAATCAGAAACTCCGAAACGTTCTTACATGGCACACACCTCATCCAGCTCCCGCAGATGCCCATCGACGATGTTCCCCAGTTCCGCATCGTATGGCAGCGCCCCCTCCGCTCGAGCTGACAGCACACAGCCCGCGGGTTCCGGTTCATCTCGATGATGTTGCCAATTACATCGAACAGGCGCGGGCTACGGATGGTGGTCTCGCAGACATAGCCGAATTCGGGGTCGTCGCGCTTCGCGAGTGCATTGGAGGAAGATTCCGAGAGCCCGGCGATGAGGTCGCTGACGGTGCTGGAGACCATCATGGTGGTGTTGATTTTGGTGACTGGGTTAAACACTTCTTGGGTGAACGTGTAGGTGCTGTTGGGGGGGAGCTTGGAGATGCGCGTGAAGTTGGGGATTTTGGCGATAGCCGCTTCGATGGCGGCGGCCATTTTAGCATCGGGGGCACGATTGGCCTCCTGCGGTGCGGCAAGGGCGTTGACGATGGCCGATCCAAAGAGGATGGCGAAGAGAAGAATGAGCGGGGTGTAGATACGCATCATGATGGCGGTATTAAAGTGCTTGGGTAGGTGGTAGGTGATTTTTATGGACGGAAGCGCAGAACAGAAATGATGGTGATTTTTATTGAAGGTTTTGCGAGGTAAATTTATAAAGCCTTTCTATGGATTGGTGCCCTCCCAAATTGTTTTATCTACATTACTGCCAAGGTACAAAGCTAAGGTTTTATACATAGGCCAAGAGAAACAACTGAATACGGCATTATTAGCAGCAATAATTATGATTTAATCCACAGGTTATTGGGCTGATAATTAATTGCCCTATGCATTTTTGCTTGAAAAAACATAATCTTATTGAGATAGTTTAAGTTTGAAAGAGGAAACTAGCAGAATTCTAGAGTCTTAGTCTTACTCTTAGTCTACAGGGATGATCATGGCCCTCCAAGCCAGCTAGCTCGGGAACGAATAATTGATAATTGAGCTCTATATATTAGGCTCGTCCCCAGCCCTCCTGCTTCTACGGTTCGCTCTATATACGTTTATGGACCAGGAACAAGTGGAAAAGAGCAGAAAAGGAGGACAGCACAAAATGATCACATATTTTATTTGATCATAAGTTAGTTTTTTTAAAAACTAAGAATGGAACACTACCAACTCCCCACCCCACGGCGGCGCCGACCCAAACGCCCCCAACACAAACCTCCCGCCCACCAGCATCGCACCACCACCGCCCTCACCTTGCACAAATCCACCAATATCATGATAAAATCATACATATTCTCGCATGGCACACACCTCATCCAAGCCCCACAAATCCCTACCGATGCCGTCCCATGGTTCTGCATCGTATAGCAACCCGACCTTGAGAACGGCGTGATCTGGCAACACCTCGCTCGCTGATCTCTGTTCATGTCGGCCAGTGCCTTGATCACGTCGATTGCCTGCGGGCTACCGCCGCTGGTTTCGCACACGGCGCCGAACTCGGGGTCGTCGCGCTTGCTAACTGTGGAAGGCGCGGGGGTGAGGGGCGTAAGGAGCTCGTGGGCGGTGCGGTGCAGAGTGATGGAGGTGGTGACGTTGGTGATCGGGTCGACGGCTACTTGTGTGAAGGTATAGATGCTGTCGGGAGGGAGCTTGGAGATGCGCGTGAGGCCCTGGAGTTTGGCAATTTCGACTTCGAGGGCGGCGTCTTGGGCGGCGATATTGAGGTCTGCGATATTGGGGTCTGCAATATTGAGCTCCGCGATGGGGTCGAATACCTGCCGGGTAGCAAAAGCATTGACAATGGCCGACCCAAAGAGGACGGCGAAGAGCAGAATGAGTGGGGTTGAGGTACGCATTTTTAAAGTGCTTGGATAGGTGGTAGAAAGGTTTTATGAATGGAAGAGTAGGAGAAAAATTAACTATTAATGATAATCTTGCGAGGCCATTTTCTTTCTATGTATTTGTACCCCACAGTTTTACCTAAATTGCTAACAAGATGAAAAGTTGAGGTTCTATACGTGAGCCAAGAGAAGATGGATAAGATGGGTACGGCATTTGAGCCAGCTATAATTATGGTTTAATCCACCGGTTTGTCGGACTGAAGATTGGTATAGGACTCATATTTAAACAACCGTACCAAGGTAATATCATTTTACTAAGATAATTTAATTTAGAAGATGAAACTAATGCCCTTTATTGTTCTTTATACACAAAATTTTAGAGATAGCGATCATGGCCCTCGAAGTTTGGGAATGAATAATCGATTATTGAACTCTATTACATATACATATATTATGGGAACACGTATATTTAATTACTAAAATTTCACAAAAGAGTAGAAAATGAGAAGAAGCGCCACATGATTGCATACTTTATTAACTCATAGGCTAGTTTTTTAAATAGTACACTTTGCCCCCCCCCCCAATCCCACACCACTCTAGGTGTGGTAGGTCAACAGATACCCCCCATATGGAGGGGTTACTCCATAGGCGCCAAGGTTGAACTTTCCACCCGCGAGCGTCCTTCCATCAGGGAACCTTCTGCGGCACCTATCGACCAAGATAAGTAGAAAGTCTATAGCATTAGGGCAAGGCACGCAGCGCATCCATGGCCCACAGATCCCCACCGCAGCAGAGTTATGAGACTCCAGCGTATTGCATTTCGCTCCAAACGGCAGATACTGGCAGCAGAAGTCCCTCTGCTTCCAATTCATGGTGACCATCGCCTTGACCACATCGAACGCCTCAGGACTGCCGCTGCTGGTCTCGCACACGACGCCAAACTCGGGCTCGCCGGCACGCTTCTTGTGCGCAGGCAGGTCGGCGGTGTCGAAGCCGGACATCATCTCTGCAGCAGTGGGGTGCAGCACAATGGTCTCCATTACGCCGCTAGTGGCATTGATGAACTTGTGCTCGAAGTTGTAGATTGTGTCGGGAGGAAGCCTGGAGAAGCGGGTGACGTTGCGGAGTTTGGCGATTTCGGCCTCGAGGGCGGGGTCCTCGGGTAGCAGCTGGCGGGCAGAGACAGGGTGGCCGATGAGAGGGCCGCTGAGGACCGTTCCCATGAGGACGGAGAAGAGGAAGAGGAGGGCGGTGGTGTAATTGCGCATTTTGAGTTTATCACTCGGAGGGAATTAAGATCTATTAGAACTTTTTGTAGGCAACGAAGAAGTTGGATATTTCTGAAAAACTAAATGACAGTGGTGACAGAGGGATGGAAAGGTCACATACGGAGAGGAGAGCACATTATGAATGAAAGCGCAAAGGTATTAACCTCATTCTATGAGTTACTTCCCCAAAGACCTTAACCAAAGTACCTCCCAAGACCCCAAAACCAAGATACCTTCTGATGTGATCGTGACTTGGAGGTGGAGTCACAAGATTTGCATCGTCTGGTGCTGTGTGCAGAGCAGAGTGCTCTATCCAGGCCAAGGCTATGAGATCCATATATTAAAATGATTTCTCTCCTCTGGATATCCCCCGCTGGTCAGAGACAGGTTGGGATTTTAGGTCTTTTCGGGTATCGTTTGGGTGCCCAGATTCCGTTGCAGCATGGTGTCGAGTGATAATCCATGACTAACGGTTAAGTGATCTGTGTGGCCACCAACAAAAACGGATGTAATACCGACGAGTAGATTCCGCTTATAATCTAAAGGATAGCATATGACATGATAAATATGATATAAGAACGAATGCACACCACTTGAAACAGCTGCCACCATCATTTGTTTCTCTTTTTTTTTTTTGGTTCAATTCATTACACACGGGATTTCACCAGGAACTTGAGACACAATACCGAAGGTAAGCTATTTACAAAGAACAATCTTTTCCTGCAGCTCCATGCCACTCTAGGTGTGGTAGGCCAACAGATACCCTCCATACGGAGGCGCTTCTCCATAACGGCCAAGATTGAACTTCCCACCCACAAGCGTCTTTCCACCCGGAAACTTTGCACGGCACTTATCGACCATGATGAGTATAAAATCAATGGTATGGAGGCACGGCACGCAGCGCATGAACGGCCCACAGATGCCCACCGCACCAGTCTTGTGCGTCTCCATGGTATGGCACCTCGACCCAAACGGCTGCCACTGGCAGCAGAACTCCCTCTCCTGCGAATTCATGGTCACCATCGCCTTGACCACATCGAAGGCGTCCGGACTGCCGCGGCTGGTCTCGCAGACGACGCCGAATTCGGGCTCTGCGCGCTTCTTGTTCGCGGCCAGGGTGGGCGTGTCGAAGCCGGCAAGGAGCTCGCCGGCGGTGGGGTGCAGCACAATGGTTTCGGTTTCGCCGGTGGTGGGGTTGAGGAATTGGTGTTCGAAGGTGTAGATTGTGCCTGGGGGCAGCTTGGAGATGCGGGTGATGTTGTGGAGCTTTGCGATTTCGGCTTCGAGGGCTTCGTCTTCGGGGAGTTGGCGGGGGACGATAGCCTTGGAGGTGGCCGATCCAATCATGATGGCGGAGAAGAAGAATAAAAGGGGGAGGGTGGTGTAGGTACGCATTTTGGGCGCCGGTGTTTGAGAAGAGAGAATTGAGCTCTTGTAAGAAACTTTGAAACCGGTTGGGTATTTTGGAGGAGGGATGATTGTGGAAAAACTAGGAGGGAAGGGACATTAAGGGAAAAGTTTGCGGTATGAATTAGAGCAATGTAAAGGTATTCCTTTCTATGATTTACTACCCCAAAGATCTAACTGAGAAATCACTACAACTACACGTGACTTGGGTAAGAGTTCCAACATTAAATGCTGGTACAGAGCGAGGTGCTCTAGCAAACTAGGCCAAGACTAAAGGGTCCATATGTTAAGTGGTCTTTCTCCTGTAGGAATACCTGGGAGTGAAAGCCAGCTACACAGGGGATCTTATCGCAACCCCACAAGAGCCAAACACCCCCGTTATGTTGCAGCGCATATCGAGTGATATTCCATGACTACAAATCACGGGTCCGTTTTCTCGGCATCCTCATCTTAATCCCCACACTGACGGATGGATTTTTTTACAGAGTGATACACGGCTACTCTCACAGGCCAATAAAAACAGATGCATACCATTTGAGACAATTCCCACCGCAAGTGATCGCGGGGCCATTGCAGTTCTACAAGGATTGGTACTCGGAGGAGGTTCTACCCTAGCCCTCACAATCACTATATATGTTATTACATGCAGCCAAGCGCAAGAGCCAAGTATTTACGACTGGGCTTATTTATGGGCATGGGCGGAAGCATTGTTTTAGATTTATACGGTTTGACTTGCATCTCAGACACACAATACCGATTGCGCACAAAAGGACATTTCAAAAGACTGGCCATTTGGGCCGTATCATTTCCATTGATTTGATTGAACGCCAAAACAGCCCGTTTCCCACACCAGCGAATAAGAGTAAACCAATAAAATTAAAAAACTGTTACAAGCGTTTGATTTATTTGTCCTGGATCGGGACGTCCTTTCCGGTCCTGCTCTTGTACTGTCCGCGAAGAACTGTATCAAGGTCCGCATTAGCACCCAACTCACCACAAGAGAAGATAAAGCCAAAGAGAGGAGGGAGCTTATCATACAATCGCTAATCTGCTCATCCTTCGCCTGCTCCAGCGCACTCTCATTATCCTGCGGTCCCTGTCCAAAGACGTGCTCCTGGACTAAATCGACACCTACCATTGAATTCGCACGTTAGCAACCTCACCAAAACGCAAGAGTACCACCTAGAGAAAGAAGGAACACACCCTTGTCAAGCGCATCTTCGTTCTTCTCCGACGCCTTTCCGCCGCCGGCCATGGAGTTGAGCTTGTCGGTCCATCCACCGCCGCTGGAGGAGTCAGTGGTTTGTTGCTGGGTTGCGGGCTTCTTCTCGCCGCCGCCGACCATGTTCTTGATAGCGTCCATTATGAGTTTTGTGGGTTGTTGGTAAAAAAAAAAAAAAATTAGTCTTTTTTTCAAAAAGTAGTGTGTGTGTGTAGTAAGTGGTATGTATTGTGATAATATCGATGAGATGAGATGAGATGTGAGAAAACAATCTGGGGAACAAAGGACGTTTTTATAGAGAATCACTTTTCCAACAATTGATGTCAATGGGCTCCATCGGCCCCCACTGACGTCACTCCCGATGAACCTTGGTTTTTTCTGCCTCCCTCCCAACGCAGCGATAATCCGCCCTGCCAGGAAAATCTGAAAAGCAGTGACGGAGCCATTGCGATTGATCGCTCGCTTCACTCGAATTGCAACAGGGTCTCCCCCTGTGGGGTGCGCAATCTGTAAAGATAGAGCTTGCTAGGGACTGGAGCTAGGGAGCTTCCAACTTCTTCTAGTTCCAAGCTATCTGACATGCCTGACTGAACTAGAAAGGGCATTGGTGTAAGTAGAGTAGAGTACATGTGTAGAGTACATGGTAAGTGGGCTGGCTGGTTTGGCTGGCTGGCTGGTTTGGCTGGGTTAGGGCTGATTGGAGCTGGAGCTATGGCGCCCTCCCGCTAACGTGGTAACACACACAGGGAAATGTCTAAGGCCCCTGCTTGCCCGACTGCCCGACTGCCCGACTGCCTGTTCGGGTATCTGGAGGGGATGATGCTCATTCACGTGTCACCAATCGGTAACCTCAACACAATAACTCAGGTTACGGAGATGCGGAACTGGAACTGGCGAGATGGGGCCATTACCCATACGTAATTTTCTCGATCGAGAGCAGTAGTCTGGTACCTGTCTGTCTGGGGCGATTAGCAGCTATTGGACAATGTGGGTAGAGAGTAGGCACCATAACTAAGGTAGATCAGTAGAGTACTCATCAATGCGTGCGTACAGCTGTACGGTGCTCTACAGGCCAGTAGACACCTACAGACCAGTAGGTACTGTACGTACTGTGGGTGCCCGAAGTTTTGATCTCAACCACTACATCAGAGGAGTGCGCATTTACACTTCGCGCGTTACAGCTCTTTTGCAAAACACAGCACACAGTAGGCCGGTACCTCCTAGTATACATCTCAAAAGTGAAGAAGGGGTGGTTTTAGAAACCAACGCGCGCCCGTTGTTTCTGCTTTGCAGGAGAGGGATGTGAATATTTTCTTCTTCTTCTTCTTTTTCATCTTCTTCTGCAGAGCTCGAGCGAGTGAGAGTGGTTGGTCCGGCTCGCTAAGGATCCGTACTGTGGTGGGATTGCAATTTGAACCTGGGGAATATTCATGCACCCAGCCTCCCTCCCCGAGATTCCACGGCCGTCAGCTTGTCAGATTGGATTTCTGGTAATCAATCTTTGATTTTTGGTGTGGTGTGCCTGTCTGCAAAATTCCACTGTGATTGAGATCTTGACGAGAAGACTACTCTAGATCTACAAATGCTTTATCGAAAGTATGCAGTATAATGAAGATGATGATGATGATGCAGTAAAGAGTTATGAAAAATCTATAAATCTATTCCCAAAAAGCAAATAAACTGAACCCCCCGGACCCCAATAATTCTAAGCGAAAGTCCAAAAATAAAACTTTTTTAAAAAAAAGAAAAACCCAAAACTTTTTTTTTTGAAAAAGAAAAAAACGCCCCAAGGATAAAATGCGGAAAATAAACCATGCTGGCATGCCATGCAACCATGCAATGCTCCCCGCCAAAATGCGAAAATGCATGAAAGAAAAAAAAGGGTATCGTACAAAAGAAATTATAGCGAGAGCTAGCTAGAGTCGCCCCCTCCCCTGTTACCGAAAGTATGAGAAAAATATAAGCAACCTCCAAAACAGCTGATAATTAAAACCAAAATTAGGAAAGCCGTGAGACAACTGGGCCCGGGTATAAAGACGAAACCATACGATCATAAACAGAAATCTATATATAACGCTCAAAGATTGGCTAGTAATAAGATAGGAAGAAGAGAATTAATGATCGTCGGTCCCGAGGAACTTGTCGTGAGTACCTGAGGAATCGTCGCAGAAGGTTTTTTGACAGCCGATAGATAGCGCTCAATGTTGATAGCTTTGCCCTTGATATTCTCACACCGGGGAAGATGCTCTCTGGCCAGCAGGTAGAGACACCGATGTTGGATCCCTTCTTCAGTAACCCATATTGTAGTCTGATGACCCCGCAGTCCCATCCTGAAAGACCTCCCCGAGGTCACTCTCGCTCATGGTCTCGGGAGATGAGAGAGAGAAGTGTTGTTGATACCTCACGAGATCAGATTCGATTATATCATCATGATCAATTAAATCAGAGTTAGAAAAAACGGCGGGATCGATATAGATAATATTTTCCACCTGACCGTGGGTAAAACTGGTGGTCTGGAGCTGATAAGTTTGGTTTTGACGAGTTTGCATATTAAAAGCATGGAATTGGGAAGTGATATCGAGATCACGGAAGGTCACGTCTGTGATTGTCCCATGAGGACCTACGGCGCCGTCTTGGTTTTGATTGGCCTTGTTGATCTTGTGGATTCTGAAGAGGTGTTTCTTCAAGATGCGGCTTTGCTTGAACTTCTGATTACACACTGGGCATGGAAATGCCGGCGCTTCGTGGCTACGCGCATGATCCCTAGAGCACAATTAGCTTCAGTCTTACTAGCGTTGATGGAAGCAACCATTGCATTTACTTACCGGAGCTTGGAAAGAAATTTAAAAGCTTTCTTGCAGCCTTCGAACCCGCAAACGTGCTTATTAGAATCTGCGCTGCCACTGCCACTCGAGCCAGAATCTGCAACGGACGCCTGGTCATCACCAATATGCAGTGGGAGCTTGGAAGGAAACTCAAAAGCTCCATCGAAGCCTCCGAACCCGCCAATATAAGAATTTGCACTGCCACTGCCACTCGAGCCAGAATCTGCGACGGACGCCTGGTCATCACCATGTGGGGGGAGCCTGCTGTCGACATCTTCCTTGCTTATTGATGAAAGGGCGTTCCAATCAAGGTACGTCGCTGATTGCTGGCACAGATCATTATTTGGCTGCTGCTCCGAAATTGTTTCGCCGGCCACAGTTTTAACCAATTTATCGACAGTGTACCCGATCAACTCGGTGTGTTGGTTGCGGCGGCCCAAGGTGTCAGCCGCATCGTCGAAAAGGAAAAGACCGTATGTCTCGACGCCTTGAGAGTGGCGGCTGTCTTCGGGCAACATGGTAAATTTAAGCTTATTGGTCGCTTGCTGGATATCAGCGAGATCGGTTTGGCTCACAACGCCAACAAACTCCGTTGATATGAGTTCTAGTTGTTGAACGATTTTCTGCATCCGGCTCTTGAATTGATCAATAGACAAAAAGACGTTGCCATTGTTATTGGCCATGTTGTATATGTATGTGGATATATATGTAGCTTGGATTGGCTCTTGGTTGGGTAGTGGTTGGTTGCTAATTAGGTAGTTACAATACTGAGGAGGAGAGAGAGCAGTTAGTAATGGTGATCAAGGCTGGAAATCGTTGGCGAGCCAATGCACAATTGCAAGGCATATGCTGCTTAAATCAGATATGGACTGCACACTTACATTATCTTGAATCAATCAAGGGTCTCGGATGTCAAATCGAGACTAGGTAATTGCAAGTTGCGGTATAGAATGATATATGATTTTAAGCTGAATAGAGAGAGGGGGAGGTGGCAATTATTAATGTCGAGCGATCACCGGGATCGGATTATATGAATGTAAAGCTAAAGACGCTCGGAATTTGATGGTGGAGAGACTGTTCCTGGCCCGGACCTGAACCTTAATATAAGATAGTGGGGTCGATTAAGCTAGATGAAGAAAATATATGCTTGTGAGGTAATGTGCGTAGTAGAGTAGCCTTGGACGGTCGCTGTTTGGGATTTGCAATGATGGTGAGCTTCCCCCGCACTACCTGTAGCTAATTATATGTTTGGAATAATACATATTGATGTTAATCATCGAGACATGCGCGCAGGTTCTGTGCACGTGTGGTGCGAAGGCCGACGTACTGAAGGCGCGCAATTTTACCTTACCACTAAGTCAGGCTGTTTCAATCAACGGAGGCATCATGTTAGTGACAGTATCGATACCGATACCGTTAACTGGTACTAGCATTGATTTTTGGGGAACCACCGTTGAGGTATCTCGAAACTGGCTAGCCATCATTCTAGAATTGCAATGATCAAGAGCCGCATATCGATTTTTGGCGGGGGAGCTAGGCACGTGATACTCAGGCAGTTTAATTCGCAGATTTCGCTACTTCCAGCCAATACACATTCTAGCTCTTCCATCACTGTGAACTGAGCATGATGTGAGTAGGACGCCAAAGGAAAGGAGAAAAAACATCTAGGTCTCAACTGCTCAGTGGCCGATTGGTGATGGAACCCTAACCCAAATTTAATCAAGGCACACTACTCGGCCATAATCCTCTCCCTATGATGTATTACTTGATCTCAAAACAATTCCGATCTGGTCCCAAACAAAATAAGGAGCAACTAGGTTTGAGCACTGGAGAGCATAGCCTTGTGCGCGCTCACTAAGAAGTTTTGAGCACTCCAAATATTTTACATTCACAATCATTGACAGCTAGTACAATATTATTCTGCACGTACATCATGTATCCACCCAATATGGCCATTGTATCGTCTGCATGCAGACAGCCGCACCAAGATCGAACGCCAACTCATCCATGCCTTTTGAGCCGCACAGCTTGGGTTATGGTCCCTCTTAGCCTCTTTAGTGCTACACCCTCTCGCAATTATTCATGGTGGCGCAGCGGAAACACACAACGACATTGGCCCCCCTATCTCTCTACATGTAAGTTACAGGATGCAAGACGGATGCATCGCTTCTTGCATACATTGTATGCTTATGCCTAAAGTATTGAAACATGATCTTCTACTCTAGTTCATGAGTTCGAAGCTAGATGGAATGGAGACCGGTAACCTGAAGCTTCTTCGAAGGAGGGCATAATCAACCCAACACAGGATGGAGTCTGTCTGCCAGCCATCATTACCGTGTCTCCCTCTCTTCTTCTTCCTGTGCGCATGACGAACATGATCAGGAACAACACATCTGCTCACAGCACACACTTCATGTTCTCTATGTTTTGATCGGATGATCGTATGCCGGGGCGCACGTAATGAAAATCAAAACATCGTCGGAGGTACTACTCCTGCAGGGACCGCTGAAACCGAGTGAGTAGAGCTGAGATTTTACAAGTTCTGTACTTACTTGAGCCTCAGCCTTGCTCGAAGCAACAGGAAAACGAGCCATCATGTTGTATCAGCTTTGTTTCTTAGCGTGAGTTCTCAAGGGTTTTTTTCTTCTTCTCTTTCTTTTCATCCTTCCAACTCTGTTACTTATCTGTGTAGCATCGGAAACGAACTAGCCGGAAAGCCGTAATATCTTTTAAGCTTCAAGACGTTGGTGGGGCCGGGAGATCGATCTCAGGAACAAGGCTTACCACATCAGTATAGGTACAGAGAGCAACCAGGAATGTTTGTGTCACGAAACAACAAGGCCTGGCGAACCAATCAAATGCAAGATTGTTTCTCTGCCGTTTTCTCTGCAACAATTGACCAATTCAAAGAAACGTTTCGCGGTCTCCTCATATTGTATCTATGCCCAGATGGATTTAAGGCAGCAATTACGTGATGCATGCCAGGTGATATGGATACAGATCTCCAGCCATGCATGTAGCTGCAGATATGACCAATGAGGTGGGTGTATACGTATATAAATAAAAAGCTGCACTTTATCCAGTCAATATACCTCGACATTGTACACACTTACATGGATACATGTAGGTGTTAAACTTCGCCAGCCATCCCTCACATTCTGATACAAATTTATGAATATATAATCATTTCTCTGGGAATAAGACCTTATTTCAGTAACAAACCAAATTGGGAACTCGTAGCAGTAGGCTTATAACCAACTGTTCATCCCATCTACCGAACGTAATAGCCCCATGTTCGATCTGGATTTCTGAGAGCTAGGTATTAATCCAACTCAGGACCCTGCTAACGCGATGTCGTTTCCAGAATAGGCAAAAATTCGCTCCGACCGGCCAACAGCTGCAGGTCGTGAGTATTGCACCTACTATGCAATTGCCACTCGCTGGATAGGATACACCTCTGAAGACAGGGTATAATAGATTAATTATATTAATACTTGCTACGTGTAGTGTACGTTTGGTTTGGAGCCTGAGCTATCTTATCATCACTTGTACCAGATGGTAAACTGGATCCGGTAAGCCTCAAGTTCGATTGTCCAATCATGTAGTAGCCGTGCGAGCTTCTTATATGTGCCCTTCTCAAACTTAACGTGCTGAGCGGGCGTTATCCGGCTCGTGCTTGCGAATAGTTGTTGAAACCCTACCTCCATCTATTATCAGTCTGTATTGCAATTCGCTGGACCTCAACCTCACCATATGCACAATGTAGCCGAATTTGTGCGCAACAGTGACTGCGGTTCTATATTCTGTGTCAACTATCATGTTATTTTCCTGATAGTGGCAGTGGGGTTCAAGTCAACCTTGTGGCGGGCATTTTCTTTTTCTTTTTTCGTGCATGCGAATGATACGCAACTTGCAGGAAACCAGTTATGAAATCTCCAGAAATTCTATGCTTCAAGGATAGTGTGCAGTCACTCTACAAACGTCGTAATATTGGTGATCCCGGTCGGCCGAGTGCTCACAAAGAAAAAAAAATGAAACGAACCTGAACACCACCGAGAGATCAGTTATAATTAAGACTAAGTAGTGCTTTGAAGATTTTGGTGACAAGGGGAGGCTTTGGACGCATGTCACGCATTAATAACTTTAGTGTTAATGACCATCAAAATATTGACAAAGGGTCAGGTACATACGGTGTTGTGACCTACAGTGCTGCTCATCTCACTGCAGTGCTAGTAAGTGGTTCGTCTCTTCTCGTTTGAGATCGTATCGGATCCAAGCCATTTTTCTCTTTCAAGGGATAAGTGTTTCCAAATATTAGAGCGTTCGCAAAACAGCTAGCTCCATTTCCCCACATCTAATTGGTGTTGACTTCGTTTCTTGACTAATCAAGTCACCGAGCGAGGCGAGTACTAGACCCTTTGCGCTGATGGATCCGGAGTCTTTTTTGACAGACTTAGCATTAATTAGTGCATTTGACTCCCAGAGAGTTGGCAAATCGCCTAATTAGACTTCCACTCCTTCTATTCTTTGTAGAATGACCAAATGATGATCTTTTTTTAAGAGGATTCTTTCATGATAAAATTCAAATGAACTACACCTTCTATCAAATTCTCAATGATTTAGCTAAGGTGTTGGTGGTAGATTCAAATTATTTACTTTGGAGTTGAATTTCCTCTCTCACCAAAAGGTGGATAATGCTGATCGGTGGCAAGCAACATTGGCTCTATTTCTTACCTTCGAAAATCAATGAAAATCCATATAACGCCAAGAGACAAGGAAGCTGGATGCATCCAGCGCAAAGGGTCTACTATTAATTAGTACTAATGTGGCGTCTAGGTTTGATTACTCTAGAGCAGGCTAGGGTTAGGGCTCCCAAGTTTTTTTGTTTAATTCAAAGTTGGAAGGAGGATAATGGGTTCCCAAACAATAATACATGATAATAATGAAATGAGGGGTTACGAGAAGAAACCAGGCTTGCCGAAATCTAGAACCGCGAGGTAGGTACAGTTAGCGAGAGATCTGTGCATATGTCCGAGCCCAATAGTGCTGGGAACCCTTGTACAGTCTTTAGCCAGCCAAAAAAATAGCCTGAATGGTACCTGATATCTGCCGCGAGAATCAGCTGGAGAGATTCCTCCTTAATTCTCGGCGGAACGGAGATTTAATACACCACGTCCGACGCTTAAACTCTATAAGCATCCTTTCCTGTGCGAGATCCACTTCTGTCCGTCCCGTATTCCCAACGACTGACGACCTATACATCACTAATAACGGACATTGATTCTTCAACTCTCAATCTACGCGGCAAGTAGGACGAAAGTTGGCGGAAATGAATCGCGGAATTGCCGTTGGGAAATGCTTGTTGGGGTTCCGAGCTTCTTGATGATGGTTTTCTGAGGTCTGGGACCTGGGGTAATTAACCTTAATTGGATTTCCAGCGGAATATTACACTCGGAGCTCCGAAAAATGCCTTTTTCCCGTAGGTTTGCGGAGTTGCGCCCCGGAAACCTCATTTATAATTACCCTCACAAGGTGTTGATTGTTGATTATCCGTATATTGAAGTTGATCATCCGTATATTGGAGTTGATCAGGCTTAAGAAGTCCGATGGCCTGCACCAACTATAAGTAGGAGTATAAGCCCCTCGTATGAAGTCTGCAACCTCTCACCATCATTCTAAACCGCAACGCAAATATGTTCTTTTCGGCCTCTAGTATTTTCCTGGCAGCTGCCAGTCTAGTCTCAACGGTTGCTGCGGCGTCGTTGCAACAGGTTACAAACTTTGGCAATAGTCCTAGTGGCGCGCAGATGTATATTTACGTATGTCAAACTCTCAATTGATCGTTTTAGATATGGCTTCCTCATTGACGTTGAGGTTTAGATCCCAGATAACGTAAAGACAAACCCCCCCATTCTGGTCGGTATTCATTGGTGTACCGGAAGTGCACAAGCTTTCTACAGTGGAACTGGTTATAAAACCCTAGCAGACACCTATGGTTTTATCGTCATGTATGTGGAATCCAGTGTTCACGAGCTGAGGATCGTAAACGCTGATATATATGCACAGCTACCCATCCGCCATAACCACAGACGGCTGTTGGGATGTCGCCTCTACGGCCAGCCTCACCCACAATGGCGGTGGAGACTCCCTCGCCATCAAGAACATGGTCTTGTATGCTATCAGCACCTATGGTGCTGATGCATCCCGTGTATACGCTACCGGGCACAGCTCTGGAGGCATGATGACCAATGTCATGCTCGGTGCCTACCCAGATATCTTCAAAGCCGGCGCTGCGTTCGCGGGAGTTCCATTCGGATGTTTTGCAAGCGACACTTCGTCGTGGAGCACCGCATGCGCAACAGGGCAGATTACAAAGACACCAGAGGAGTGGGGTGCATTGGTGAGGGCTGCGTATCCAGGATATACGGGGACGAGGCCAAAGATGCAACTGTGGCACGGAACAGAGGATGATACTTTGTACTTCCATAACTTTGAGGAAGAGATCAAACAGTGGACAAATGTCCTGGGTGTTAGTCAGACCCCTACGAGCACGGAGAATAATTTTCTGGGATATAGTGGATGGGTGCGGACGAAGTATGGTACTCAGGTAGAGGCGATTAAGGAGCAAGGCCAGCCGCATAATTTGATAATTGTGGCAGACCAGGGTTTGTAGTCCTTTCCGGTGGTTGAGATGGTGCTGGAAAAACATGCTAACAGGTTTGGCTGTACATGTAGTTGTCTCTTACTTTGGCCTTAATGTCGCTAGCACGACGACGACTGCTACCCCTACTACCCCTACCATAATTGCTTCGTCAACAACAACCCCAACAGCAACAGCTACTTCGACAACAGGAGTCGCAAAGGTAAGAGAAAGAGATCTGTATCCTCCTATCAATTCCAAGATAGACGCTGACATAAAGTAATGTAGTGGGGTCAGTGTGGTGGAATTGGCTACACAGGATCAACGACCTGCATCAGTAGCACGTGCACTGCTGTTAACGCGTATTACAGTCAGTGCCTATAGGGGATATCTAAGATACTTTGAAATCAAAATTATTGCATGTATTATACGTGTAGTATCTATAACCTCCTCCTTCTATAGGTGTTAAAGTGATGCATGTATGCTCAAGTAACGTTAAGGGCTTAAAATTATACCTGCGGAATTATATATTCTACTCATACCCAAATACGTATTGCATGTTCTATAGATACAACGCCTTGCTTAAAAGTACATTTAGCCAAATGATTAGGATACTGTAAGAGCATCACGGGGTTTAGTCTATTCGATACCCCCGCCAAGAACCGAACCGAGTGATCATTTATGACGGTGCCGCCACCGCAACTCCCACCAACTACAATCACTACCGCTACAAGAGCTCTATGTACTACAATTGGGTGTGACGGAATAAATTATGAATTTATTAGGCCCTGAGAGTATCAACTAATCATAAAATACTCCGGCACCCTTTTTTTCCACCTTCGAATCAAATACACCGCGTCCGCGCTGCTGCACGTCATGCCCGACATATATGTACCTACATATGTATGTAAAAAAAAAAAAATCGGATTAATCCTTAACCAACCAGCACCCCATCCCCATCCCATCCCCATCCCCATCAACCCCGCTTCCTTATCTTAATCACTGGTAAGGCCGCTCGGGTTGATAGGGCAATTGCACTGCTTCGCGAGAATCTAGTATCAAGTGCAATAGGTGCACAGGTAAATACTCGTATTTCTCTGACGTTTGTGGACGCGACTGATATTGCATGCCATACAAAAATACGCCAAGCTCATGATTTTGGGTGTATGCAATAATGGCCCAGTTCAAAAACGTCAGCGAAATTCTAGTACATATAGGTACATACCTCGCGTTACCCCAGGATTACAAGGATCAATTCAACGGAAATCTCCGATTAGCCGAGAACCCCGCAAACCCAAATCACTGATGTTTTACCACAATACTTAGCTAAAAGCCCCACACCCAGAACCCCCACTGTCCTACATAAATCTCCCAACGCCAGACTTACATACTCTACGTCCATCAGAAGCTATCGAACCCAGAAAGGATCGACTACTTTTATTGCATAGGATGGCAAACCTCCAACCCCCAATTATCGATTCTCACATCCACCTCTTCACTGCCGAACATCTCCCCTACCTCGCCTGGACAAGCCCTACAAACCCACTGCACTCAGAACACTCAATCTCGGAATATCTTGCTTCTATCCCGGAAACTCAACGCGATTCTTTCAAAGGCTTTGTCTTTATTGAGACCGACCGTGTTCACACGGAGCCATCACAAGCTGCAATCGCAAGTAACGACGAAAAGGCTCTAAAGACTTCGTGGGAATGGACAATTGAAGAATTCAACTTTGTCTACAAACTGTCTGAGCAGAATGAGCTTGTACGGGGAATTGTGCCTTGGGCCCCGATGAATCTGGGGGTTCAGGCGCTTGAGAGGTTTTGGTCACTTCTGGAGCTAGAGGGAGAGAGCAACAAACGTAGAAAGGAAATGCTGAAGGGCTTCCGGTATCTGGTACAGGATAAACCGAAGGGTACGATCCTGAAGAAGGAATTCGTAGATTCGATGGAATGGGTTTGGAGAAAGGGACTGGCTGTGGAGATTGGGGTGGATGTTAGGAGTGGTGGCATCTGGCAGCTCGAGGAAGCGGTATTGGCAATTGAGAGTATTGTCAAGAAGGACGTGCCGGATAACGTTGGTTCCTTTGTGATTAGTATGTACCCCCGCTATGCTCTAACCTGCAAAAGGTCTTCATTTAACAAACAACTTGTGTTACAGATCACCTTTGTAAACCGCCACTAAACACTTCGCCTGCGGACATACCTTCATCAGAGATATTCAAAGGCTGGTCTGGTCTGCTCACCCGTGTAGCCTCTGCCCACCCCTCAATTACGATGAAGCTTTCTGGCATATTCTCTGAGCTTCCACACAATTCCGAGTCCTATCCATCAACACATAGCAAGGAATCTGTTATCTTGGATCTTGTGTCGCCATGGGTAAATGAATTATTTAACATATTTGGATCGTATCGTGTTCTTTGGGGAAGTGATTGGCCAGTTTGCAAACTTGGTTTTGCAGAAATTTACGCAGACATTGACGCCGGTAGTGCCGAAGGAGCATGGGAGACGTGGAGAAGGTTGACTGGAGTTCTGATGAAGAGAGCGGGTATAATGGAGAAGCAATCGGAGATGGTATGGGGCGGAAACACAGTAAGAGCTTATAATCTCAGCGTTGATAGAGTTGATTAGGACTTCAGTTCCGGGGTGTTATAGTCGAATCGCTAGATATCAATTAGTTTGACTTATGAAAAAAGGAGCCCAATTCGAGAATAGACTTTATATATGTATTCCGTTTTTTTTTTTTTTTTTTTTTTTACTAATGATACATAGTAGAAAGGGCTGATGGGCTTACAAAAGTAGTTTTCTCATGTTTCCAAAGACCGGTTGCACAGCGTCGCAATAGATCATCATATGACTGCTGGTTTAGGAATAACACTAGACGACTTCACGGGGTTACGGTCAACACGGGGGTATGGTCAATTCCAAGATTTTGTATGGAAACCAAAAGAGGTAGTCGATCCACTCCCTGCGTATCATACATCACTACGGTGTATATTTGAGATTGACCGTACCCCCGTGAAAGCGTCTATATAGGCAAGACTAAACTAGTACTTTATTACAAATTTGAAGAATACTCCATCCCATCCGCTTTTTTCAATGTTTTCGCTTTTGAACCTAGCTGAGCGATAGTACTACTATCCCATAATACTCCATCAGTGAAATGCCGACCTCAGAAAAACAACAAACCCCGTGTAGCTCTACTAACAGATCTTATTTCTATTAGCAAATAATACATCCCCCATAAAGATTTATTATAGGGATTAAAGGCATTTCTCTCGCCAGATTGGGTACTGCTTTCACCCCCTCAAACCAGCACTATGACCTATATAAACCTCCTCTGGCAGTCGCTATTTCCTGCTTGAGCCTGACAAAGAGTCGAAAAACCGTCAAAATTCGGGAAGAACGAGGGACAGAAGATACACAGTATCAGCTTTAAATTAGGAAAGAGTACTGAATTTGCTATTAGGGCAAGGGTCTCTCTCAGCTGCCTTTGCTGGGCAAGATTAATTTAACCAAGCCTGGAAGAGCTCCCCCAGGGCGGCCAAGGCGATCCACACCCGTATAAGAACAACGGCCTCCTCGAATCACCAAGAAGGCTCGCAGGTACAAGGAAAACGGATCAGCAAGATGGCTTTCACATACATGGACCGTAACCAGCCCTGAACAGACCGACTAAAGCCATCTGTGACTCTCCCGGGCCGGCCAAGTTCGTCCACTATACCTGGCGCGGAAACTCACGCTAAATAACCCCTGTGCGCCGTTTTCTGCTCCCTTATCGCTCGTGGTAGTTGATGATGTTTCTCAAATTAAACCTGCTCCCATTTGGAGCTGGCCGCGGACCTCTTGCGTTCTATGTAGTGCTCGAGAAGGTGCGGGAACGTCCATTAACTGTTTAAACTTGCAGAAATATTTCCTCCGGGTTATATACGACTGGTTAACGGGTTGATTGTAACGTTAAGAGGATGCGTCTAATAGAATCATGATCAGCCCGAGTGTAATGAGTACGAGAGGTGAATGGGTCTTATTTTTGGTATTGGTTAATTTCTGGTGACATTGTGCGAGGGAAAGAGAAAGAGGATAGCAGTAAAAAAAAAAAAAAAGGTGTCTTGAAATCTCCACCGTCGTTACATAATTTAGCTCCGAGGGGATCAAAGATTCATCTGAATTGAAAATTCAAAGGTGTTGGCACGTTAAGTATAAATTCTATAACTCGATCACTAGCGCGCCTCGATATGGAGAGCTTGTGGCTGTGCAAAAGCCACACCTAACATCATCAGGCATAGCGCCTCAAGATCTCATGACTTGCAATGAGCAACCGCCTTCCCCGACCTGCGCACCAATGGCAATAATTGAACGTGCCTTTTCCTACGGCGGTATCCTCATCAGAACCTTTCAGCATGCCGACTCCCCCCCCACAGTCCCACAGCCGGCGTCCTCGGGGGCGCCTTCACCAGCATGGGTCTCGGAGCAGCTCCCACCCCCGAAACGAACCAGAAAGAAGCGACAAGCCAACCCTCCACAGACCCCCGTTCAACTCGATTTATCGTCGCTACTTACACCTGATACCACCACATCGGAGAGCGGAAGTCTACGAGATGCTGGGCCAAACTCATTATCAGCGTTGAAAGACCTGCCACATTACATCTCTCTGCTCACGCCTGTGGAGCTTCGCGCTATTCAAACGCGTAATCGCCGAGGGAAGCATTGGATCCCGCCGGAGTCAACGGTACGGAAAGAGCTCGTGAAATTAGGGAGAGGAATTAACGGGGAGACTACGCCCGTCCACGCGAGTAGATCCAAGGCTGCAGACGCCCCGGTTCGGTACATGCAGGAGACAGGGCGTGCCACGGATATCGACCGCTTTGCTGTTGGTGGGGTATTAGGAGCTCCTAGCATGCAAGAGGAATCAATGTTGGACAATCTTGATGAGCATTTCGTTGCAAGCGATCACGGCGCGACGGATGGGAGAATTGAATGGCTGGCCCCGAGAAGTGTTCTAGTTAAGGACAGTAACAATGGGAATATGATTTCGAACGGAGCTGGAAGAGGGAACGAACATGTCCACCCTTCTCCAGCCCATGGAGTAACGTTACCGTCACCAATATCGGTATCAACAAAAGATGACCAGCAAGGGCTGTATCTACCTCCTCTATCCACTCACGTGACAAACAGTGAATCTACCAATAATGCTCGAAGCCTAGTGGTCAAATTGTCCCTACCAAGTACAGCTCAGAAGTCTCGGGTTCTGCCTGCAGAGCCCGTCCCCACACCAGCCCAAGCAAGTTCTATGGGTCCCCTCCAAACACAAACAACTACTCCAAATTTCGCAGGGGACTCAGCTCCCCCAGCTCAGGGTGGGCGGGGTCGTGGCCGCCCCCGCAAAAGCCTACATGCCATTGATATAACCCAAGAAGCGCAATTAATAGCTGCACCACAATCATTGGCTCCATCTTTATCACCTATTGCACCACAACCTCCGGCTGCTCCCAGTCCCATACTAACCAATACCCCATCACAATCTTCCCAGAAGCGGAAAAGGACGCCTTTATCGTCGGATCTCACCGATACCTCAACGCCTCCAACTCTTCATTTCTACTCAGTGTCGGATCTTCTCTCTCACCTCACATCCACGGTCGCCTCATCATCATCAGGTTTCATCCCCCGACCTGTAAGGGTAAGCTACACGCTCCCAAAATCTGCACTGTCAGCATACATCCATGAACCCGGAGACAAACTGTACAAAGCCTTTGGCGTGGATCTTGTTGCCCAAATCTCAGCAATTGACAAATTTAAATGGCGGATTGCACACTCTCAATGGGGTATATCCAACGGCAAGCATACCCCAGGTGCCAGGTGGGTCTGTAATCTGAGTGAAGAGGGTTCCCGAGACCGTGGTTCAAGGGGCGGTGCACCGTCGGGGGCTGGGTTGAGGCCAAATGGTTTTGGTGGTAAGTCCAATATCACGCTGGTGGTGCCAGAAACTAATGAGTTCTAGATCCACCCGCATCCAAAACTCGCTATCCATGTAGCGGATCAATATCACTGCGCTTCAGCGCAAATAAAGACATAGTGTCTTTCAAATACTCGCACCACGCTGTACACGCACCTCCCAGTGAGGATGATGTGCAAACAAAGCGAGTGAAGCTATATCAAAATTCACCCAGCGGCACATGGGGAGCTAGTGCACCCCCTGCGCAGGGTTTTTCAAACACATACACTGGAGTTGATGGAGGAGGAGGGGGCATATGTGGGGAGTCAATCCTGGCAGCGGTGGTAATATAAACTTTTGAATTCTTTTTACTACTTCTACACCGGGAAACACAACCATTTAATTATTCATGTGCTACAGATTGTTTTTTTATTTCTTGACGCTGCAGGTGCTTTCTTGCGATTTGTAAATTTGGGTTCGGCATCTTCTTCTGGGTTAGCTATGGAGTTCTGAAAACTTAACTACCTGTAAATTTATTCCTCCTGTTCATGATTCTGCGAGTCTGGATACATATATAGACTGAAGACTGCTTGATCGCAGCTCGTGTAATCATCCGAAGATCTTATTTGAGGCTTTCTCAGTGTTACTTATTTCCCAGTGAAGATCTGAAAAAGCTAAGGGCCCGTTTGGCAGTTTCGTGGTTATGAAACTTCGTTATGCAACGACTCCATTAGACGAGTGCAAACGGAGATTTTTGAAAACGGAGTTTGGGTTTCCCAAACAGCAGTGTCAAGGTGGATATATTTGGTGGGGTTTTGGGCGTTGCAACGGAAAAGTAGGTAATACCTACTTTTCAAAAACTCTGTTTCAAAGCCCTAACGGAGGTTCAAAATTAGCATGCCAAACACAAATATTTCTTGCAAAACGGAGTTATGAAATAAATGAAACAGAGTTTTCCCGTTGCCATACAAATTTGCTCACAAAACTCCGTTTGGACTTGCTCCCAAACGGGCCCTAAGCAAAGCAAGCGGATCAGACCATCCAACATCCGCAATGTGGTTTTTCCGATTTTGATTCGCCAGTAAGTGCGCATTCGCTATTGAAGCAGGTTCGTCATGTAGATTATACAATATACTACTACATATACCTACTCGTGTTTTCACAGCGTTTGTGAACAAAAAATAGCCAAGGCAACCTTTTTGTATGGCATGCAATAGCGGTGGTGTTCACAAACGCTATGAATAGACGAGTACTCTAGCTCAGTAGACCGTAGAAAACCCTGTAATCACATGAAAGTTGGATTCCGCTAGTTATGCACAAGCGATGCAAACCCGGATACAAGCCGAGAAACCCCTGATCCTCGACCAAGCTGTCAACTTCTTACGCTTTTTCTAACTCTCTCGGCATCGATTGGCATCTAAATGGCAGGCCATCTGTTTATGATAATTCTGGAGACTCTGAAAAAACACGCGATCGGTGCTATTTTCTTGCTTTTTGTGAGCAACGTTTTCTATGATTTGTATCTTCATCCTCTAGCTCGATTTCCTGGCCGGTATGTGGTGATGATATCCGCCTATACCAAGAGAAGATACCTAACGGCGATTAGATATGGGCCCGAATAACAAGGCTCTGGTGGTTAAGAGTCGTCTTGAGTGGAAAACAGCATCTCAAGAACTATGAGCTACATGAAAGATACGGTATATATTCATTATGGCCCCGCTTCTTATATGTAGCTTCTCTCAGACATGACCTCTACGTACAGGGCCTGTGGTGCGTATTACACCAAACATACTTAGCTTCTCCGATCACCGCGCAATCAAGGTTATCTACGGACGTGGTGCTGGCGAGTTTGCGAAGGGCGATGGGTTCGGTAATGGATTTCTACCAGGCGGAGATCCGCCAGTATTTTTTGCAAAGGATCCAGTGGTGCACTCACGCGTGAGGAAACGGATTGCTCACGCTGTTAGTTCCCAGTAATACCCACTACAACAATTATCAGTGAGATTAACCAGACCTTTGAATAGTATTCAATGACATCTGTGGCTCAAATGGAGCCGTCAGTAAGCGCTTTAATAGAGGAATTCAGTCGAAACATCGACAGGTTTGCAGAACGCGGCGAGGAATTTGACTTGGTCGAGTGGGTCAATCATCTCACCTTCGATTTGATAAGTGAGCTCGGATATGGGAAGAAATTTGGATTCATGGAGAAAGGAGGCGATGTTAACGGATATCAAGAATCAATGCATGTGAGTCAACCTACTCCAGCCAAATCCTGATACGTTCAATTCTAATAACACCAGCATAATTCACCTATGTTTCCAATTTTAGCTGCATTTCCAACCCTCGCAGCGCTATTGGGGGTTGTGATAAAATATCTTCCTCCTCCTGAATCTGCAACTGGAATCGGACATTTATTTGGGGTAAGTCCCAAATCCAACTTGAAATAATTATAAGTTATCTAATCGAGTTAAACTTCTACCAGCTAGCAAAAAGGATAATCGCTGATCGACGTGCTTCTACTAGTTCAAGTACAAATAAAAAGGATCTTCTCGGTGGGTTTCTTGCTTCCAAGACTGAGGATGGCTCCCCAATATCCGAAAGTTCAGTCTTTGGTGAAGTCATGGGGACTCTTATTGCTGGTGCAGACACTACCGCAGCATCAATTCAAGGGGCAAGCCTCTATCTTCTACAAAACCCCCCAGCCCTCCAGCATCTCGTAGACGAACTTGATCAAACCAACCCAGTATCTTACGCGGATACGCTGCCTTTAGAGTATTTCAACGCTGTGTTAAAAGAGACCCTCCGGTTATCGCCCTCCATTGGTGCAACATTCGGCCGGAAAGTTCCGGTGGGGGGAGCAGAAATATTACCTGGTATCTGGGTCCCAGGAGGCTTTGAAGTCGGTATCAATAATTGGGTTGTTGGGAGAGATAAGACTTTATATGGGGATGATGCGATGGAGTTCAGACCCGAGAGATGGCTGGAAAAGGGCAATCGAACTCGTTTTGCCGAGTTTGAATTTGGATTTGGAAGCGGGAATAGGGTGTAAGCTACTTGATCCTTTCTCTTACACTGGCGTCAAAGGTAGTAGCTAATAGGTAGGGACTTAGGTGCATCGGCAAGAACGTTGCAATGATGGAGATTTGTAAAACAATTCCTGAATTATTTGGAAAATTCGAGCTGGAACTAATGGATCCGGAGGACCCATGGGTTGAAGAGTCGAGATTGTTTTTATATAAGAGTGGGCTGAGAGTAAGGGCGAGAAGGCGGGTTCTTAAGGTTTAAGGCGAGCGAAATAAGGGTATCACGTCTCAACCGAGCAGGAAAAAAGAAAAGACGAAACTCCATTACTACATACAGTAACATCATAAAAATACAACGACTCTTTGGATAGAAATCTTAATTTGTGCATATATACTCATTTCAGTCCCCCACTCAGACTTTCCGTGGTCCTCTGTTTCTCCTTGGGAAACTTCCTAAACATATCTGCCAGCACGTCCACCGGCATCGCCAATAGTCCCAACACTGTCTCATACGGCGGTTTATTTGGCATCCACGGATGTCCTCTTGTCGGCACAAACATCTTTGTCCTCGAAAATGACAACGCAAGCTCCTGGGATCTGCTTTTTCCGCCTATGCCACTCTCCGGCTTCGTTTTGGCCAACGCCTCCTCCAGCATTGGAAGCTCGTCCTTTTCTTCGCTGCGCATATGCTTCTCCAACTCCTCCATCAGCTCCACCAATGACGGCTTAAACTCTTTCGACTGTGGATACAAGCGCTGAAAATACTCCAGCAGCTCCTTGGTCTTTTTTCATAAGTGGCCCATCAGCATACAGCTTACCCCAGGAAAGACAGCCATCTGACCTTCTGATGCGAATTTCTATCCTTATCTGCCGCCTTTTTCCCCTCTGCGCCCAGATACTTCTCGTAAGCTGGATACAAGACGATCTCCTCTCCAACAGCGTGTCTGGCCAGCTCCCATGTCAACTGATTCTGCCAACGACTCTTATTATCGTAATCGTTTTCATCCAGGGCCATTAAACGACCATAGTAGTCCTGGAGTTCGCGGTGATCATGTGTAATTGCATCTGTGATGGTGGGGTCGTCCGGGAGACGTGCCAGGTGGCGGACCTGGGTAGTGGCTAGAGCCAAAGACTGCACAGATACACGCGAGAGCTCGAGTGCAGGACGGGATATGAGACGGAACATTTTCCAATTGCGAATTGAATTGTATGAAGTGAGACGTGAGCAGTAATGGTATTGGGAGAGGAAGCTTATTTGCATAAAAGGTGAAACTCGGGGTACTTATCGCACCGTATATTCTGTGGACTGATCTTGGGCATCATGTCTCAACGTCATGACAATGAGGACCGCGGAGATAGAGTATGTGTGAGTAAGGCAATGCGGTACCCGAGTGCGCGTGTTCGTCGGTTGGTTTAATAGGATGCCAAGAATGTCTCTATTGGTTGTTTTAAACTCGGTTGTTTGGGGAAAAAAAACAGCATTACATTCGGTACACGGCAACGCGCCTCCAATGGGTGGTTGGAATTGGGATCAATCATGAGCAGGGGCTAAACCTGGAGAGCTTTCATGCAGCCCACTTGTGAAAATATCTACCTATCAACAGTGCGCAATTAACTACATGACTCGGAGAGATTCTAGGTACTCTGGGTACTCTACATACATGTCGGTAATTGACACTAGGCATCTCTTGTGGTAATTCCAAATGACCAGTGACTAAGGGAAACCAAATAATAGGTGTAGAACCAGGGATCTACATGCAGGTTTAATGTTTATTTCCCCTAACCGTATTTCTTGGTATGCGCGCTGTATTTCTTTTACATGAGCTAGACATTTCGCCACTATGGCCATTTACCGAGTGATTTGCCATGATTGCACGAAACCTGGCTCTTGTATTTCAAAATATCTGCTTACAATATTTAACTATTCAGCGGAGACTACATGAATATAACGTTTCTGTTATCTCTCAAACTATATGTCCCATCTTGATTCCTAAATCCTCCTCACCGTGAACCTCAACCACCCGGCACCCTCGCGCCCCTCGGCCTCCTTTGGCAGCTCAATTGGCGTAAACGTTCCATCAACTTGCCATTCCCCACCAACTTCCTTATTCCAGAAATTATTGAAAGTCTCCATATCGTGTCTATACATTTTCCCTTTGAGCATGTGCACGCTATGGTCAAACTCGCCCGGAATCGAACTCCCCCCTTGTCTCCCCACCACCATGGATCCCTTCTTGGGGCTGAGCATCCGAGAAATCCTCTTGGCCGCACGTACCTGATCCTCGAGATTAAACAAGTGCAGGAAAGACCCGATATGAATAATGTCCATCTGCCCGTCGAGAACGTTCAGCGGGGAGGCCTCCGATTCGTCGAATATGTCGGCTGGGGCAATGAATTTGGTGTCGATTTTGTCTTTATCCATGAAAAGGTCATATCCCATGCCAATAAATTCGGCTTGCAGGTCCGAACCATAGATATTGCCCGAAGGGGCGCCGTCCGAGATAAGTTTCCTGATATCTTGCCCAAAGCAACACCCGAGATCGAGCAGCTTCTCGCCTGATTTGAGACGGGATACAATCTCGTCGTAAGCCGACGATTCAGAGATTGAAAAGTCGAGGAAACGGAAAGAACCGATGCATGGGTAGGGGAAGATTTTCAAGGCAGTATCGCGCTGTTTAGAGTTATACCAAATTAGATTTCGAACACAGACTGGAATAAGGAGTATCTAAAACGTACCACAGATATAATATGTGGAATAATTTCATCATCTGCAAGATTGGTGTGCTTCTTGAACACCTCACGTGCGGTGGGTGGGAATGTGGAGGGCTCTGGGATGTACCATACAGAAGTGAGGACGTCGATGGCGGGAGGATTTTCTTGTGCTTCAGTCATATTGGCTTGCGGTTGTGGCTTGATACTGATACTATTTCGACACCAATGGAGATTCTTCTGTCTTTTTATAAGTTTTTTTTTCTTTGCTTTTGAAGATCGAGGGTTTCTTAATACCGAAGTAACTCCATAGACCCCGCAATCTCCGTCTTCAGTACGTGGCCTATCCACGGCTTTCCGTCGTATCCGGATTAGAAAATGGATGTATTTTGGCTGCGCAAGGGTTAAGGTTCTGACTCAATCACTCTAAATTCTAATAGAGATCAAAGAATCTATGTATACCTGATCTACATACATCTGTACTTGATAATTTATTCACGAACAAATATCCAAGTCGCGTTGAGTCGTTTGAGTCATTCGACACGCGTACTTCTCCAACTTGTGATGTATGCAACTAGGCCATGGCCGGTATGTGATTTATGCATGCATATGGTTACAATATTAATTAAGTTGGGTGAGTGAGGCTCAAAAAACCTTAAATGCCCCGCCACTGCACTTCGCACTGAGGCTGATCGTTAGTGGCGTAGAAACTGCCAAGATCCGGGCAGGAATAATAAAGATAGTATTACTAATGTAGGTACTAAACCTGCGCATGCCAATGGCAACATCAACCAACACCAATTGGCCCCCATGCCAAACAGCAACAGCCATCTCATCCTACTCTGTTGTCGGCGGACCTTATCGATCTTGGGCAATCCATTCACGCGAAGTCAATAACCAGTTCCTTATTGGTTATGTCGGTTAACTGCTGTCACCTACAGATGACTTGAATCACTAACGCAACATCTCTTTAACGCAATGGTGATGGCTCTGATCTGGCTCTGGCTCTGGCTCTGGCTCTGCGCAGATTTGATTCAGAGAGCGATTACAATATGTACCTCTAATTATAAAAAAAAAATCAAATATGCAACAAGGTATATCCGCCAGTTCATGATTATATGCGGTGGATAGGGCTTTTTCTCTGACCATTCACGTCCTTCACGCACTATTCACAGATTGGTTGGAATCCAAATGGCATGTGAAGATCAATTTACTTTGTCCACTGATATGAATCTTTTGATCCTTCTTCAAGTTAGAAGAAGATAACCAAACCGCCGTGCCTTTTTTAACTGAGACTAGGAGGGTTGTTGTCATCAGGCCGCCGTGCGCGTGAAGGATATTCGCTGCGCATGGCAAACTCGCAAGGTCAGATCAACGCCGCTAGAACTTGAAAAAAACTGCGCACTGCGCGTGTTTTAGGAATGAGCTTGTATCAGTATAAATTATTACACTTAGTACGTACCGGACGCTCTTCTATTTCATCAACAAACCCAGAACACAGAACTTCCCATGTCCTCCACACTCTCTTCCGCTTCTACTCTTGATCCTCTTTCAGTCTATTACGGAAACAACATTCCAGCCCAAATGTCCGCAGTCCGCAACGGTTATTTGCGAGACCTGCACGAAACAGTTGCGGATCTCATGAATAAAATCAATCTTCAATCTCCGGAGGGGGTTCAAAGGCTCAGAGACGCGGAGGAGACTATCTTCCAGACCTCTAGAACCGAAACAGGCGAATATGTGTGCAGGTACGAAAATTGCGCGCATTGTACAGTAATGAACGAGAACCAATTCTTGTATGGATATATGTACTATAAAGACAACATTCTATGAGAACGTAGAAGCTAACATTATAATGCCTCTTTGCCAGGGATCATCAAGCAACTCATCAGCACATACGCTACCGCTGCCTCAACTGCAACCAAGAATTCAGATTTATGCGGGAGTATGAACAGCATCATTCGGTCAACCACGAGGGAGACATGAACTTGGAGCTTGTGAATACTCAAGAGTAGTACAGATATATACTTGCTCCTAGTTTGATGTTCCTGCGCATTTTTTTTTTATGATCGAGGAGGTTTTCTGTTTCGGGGAGGTTTTCTGTTTTGAGTTTGAGCATTGCGGACATAACAGGGGAAGATTCATGCGCAGGTACTAGGTCTATGTGGAACGTTGAATTTATACATGCTTTCCAAACCCTAAGTTTATCCACTACGTACTTGTACACATGTCAAGTAACCTTGTGATACATGAGGTTACTACATGTATTGAACTGCAAAGCTAAGCTCGGCTGAGTACATGTATGCTCTTTTCATACCATCCCTTACGTTATGTAGTAACCACCGCAAAATCTCTACTCCAATGTATAACCGGCACGACCCGTCCCTCTCGCATGCAGGAGGAATTCTAACCAATAACTACATGTATCCCATTTAGCCCATCGCAAAAGAAAAAAAGAAAAAAAAGAGAGAGAGAAGCTGTCAGTAACTATGATAACTGTGTTGTACAATTGTATTTTAGTGATGCTAATTAGTGGCCGATAGCTAGACACATCTCATCAAAACGCAATGAGATTAGAACAATCTAAGGGCCAGATTTCGACTCCCTCTATGCACGACTGTACGCTACTGTAACATGATATGAAGGAACCTGAAAAAAGAATTCTTGACTGATGTTCGAAACTATAGCACCTATGCTTAGTCACTCCCTAATATGAGGCGCAACTCTACGAGAATTTTATATATTCTAAAGTATTAACTACAAAAGCAAGACTCCGACCGTGTGCCACCAAGATAGACGAAGTTACTTAGTAGATAGGATACACTGTTGCCTAACGACTTACATACACGGACGATATGGATGCGCAGTAACCTATCAACATGAGCGGGGAATTACTATAAAACTTCAATTTATGAACGATCGATCATGTGGCAAGAGATTAGTATTCATTCCCTTTGAATGGTCCTGAGGATGGATTCGGGAGATCCTGAGTGTTGACAGCATCTCATAACCTCACTATCTTGCATATATGGGGAAATAGAGTTCCGCGAAACAGCCATGACGATAATCGCTCCCGCTACCAGCTACTAACCTAGAACTAGGTAACCAACGCAATATTACCGTCATTATAACTGTAGATAATACTCAGTAATCGATAAAAACGGCACATGATTAACTGCGATTGGCCTCAAAAGACCGCATCCAATATCGCATATGAATATTGGTGGACCGAAGCAATAGACCTAGTGCAGGGACCTTCGGCCAATAGGTTTGAATCATTTGAGCGGTTAACTGCAGTATGAGTAGCTTCTTAAGTAATATACATGTATGCGTGGCGAAACTTCAGACACGTGAGGCGTACGGCTTTCCGGCGACAATTGAAATGACTATTGAAACACTAGTAGTTAACTCGATCCATTGGCAATTTTTACAGAACGAAAGTATTACTATTATAAGTATACGGGTACTTTTCAAATGCAAAGGGTTCTAGAAGGACGTTAACGAAACGTTCTCTAAACCCCTCTCGTGGAAACAAATCTTGCGCATGCGCCATACTTGGAGATAAGCCTGCGCAGCTGCAGGCCTGACCAGCTGGCTCACATGCATGTTCGAAGATATGGTTGATTTCCCTGTTTATATCTCAATTTCTGCCCATATCATCGTGCAGTATATACTCCTGATTCGTGTAACTTACATATAGATTCAGGGCTGCTTGTGTTCTTTCCCTACATGAATTAATCAATTGCCTGATAACCAGATCAATTGGTGCCTCACTACCGGCATATCAGGATGTCATAGAGGACTGAAGAATTCGATGAAGAGATTCGGTATCATTCGCACTCCATTCATTTTCTATCGTGAACACGCTCATCACTGAGTTTAGGCAACGAACGCTGGCTCGTTGCTGGAGGCCGGCGACGTCTTGAGCTAGTTTCGAGGGCCGGAAGGAATATCCGGCCTTAGACCATGGAGCCCACCATGAATGAGAGAAAATAAAGAGAAAGACCATGATTCTGGAACGGGTCATGAGCTAGGGTGCAGGTCCATGAGTCTCGTCACCAATATTTTACTCACACCGAGTGATATCGATGGGAAATTCATCGTCAACAAAGACTATAGTCTATAGATGGCTGGTCTTAAGCTTAGCCAGCAATATGCGGTCTTCTTTGAACATACTGCTAGCTATATTCAATTAACCTCAACCTAATGTCAATACTCTAGATCTCACATTATTATTATATCGACCGACTACAGCCATTTTTATAACCAATCAATTAGTCAAAAACATTCAAAACACTATCGTTTTTATAAAGCATACCTTCCATCTTATATCAGACCTTATACTCGTAATTTCGTAGCGTTTGTGAACACAGCTGGATCTGCATTAGACTGTATATACTAAAATCTGGAGCCTCACGCAGGACCTTGCGGGTATGCAACCCAGTTGTGTTCACAAACGCTATGAAATTACGAGTATATGGCTATCATGAATAGCCAAGACCGTCGCTGCGGCAAGGCAATTATAGAGAGCCTTGTAATAAGTCTCCCGCGAAAAGGTACAAGTAGATACTTATGGGATAGTGTGTACTCAATCCCGTCGAAGCACATAAAAAATGCACCCAACAAAAGTGTTAGCAAATGATGATTCGCTTTATAATTGACAATGAAAAACGTCCTTGAGAAACTTTCCAGCGGCTGGCGGGTTCTTGAGCAGCTCTATCGCCTTGTTTAGGAACCCAAGGTTATATAGATCTAATTTTATAGAAGTGGATATATCCGACTAAGACCCTGACGCCAGTCATCTACATATACATATACAGCTAAATAAGCCATATATACATGTATGTATGCTCCAACGACAACAGAGGCCACGATTGCGTATTGAAATTCATATTACCATGATCAACCAGCTAGACAACGCTTGATACTATCCCCCAATTCCTAGGGCCAGAGGGCCATTAACATTACGACTATCCCGGATTCTATATTATGGCCCAACTCTGAATCTATGGGGCTCAATCTCTAGATCTAAGATCGAATTTGATGTATAGTGCCTATATACTTAATTACACCAGCCACAAGAGCTAAATTGGTAGCATATAGGCTTGTATGCAGTACATAAATTTATAAGCAAATACGTATATAATACATCGATATCTATATCACCAGTGACAGTATGCGCCCCATCTTACGTTTCAGCTGCTGTATTGGTTCGTGTCACTTAATATATACCAGGTTTGCACATATATACTACCTTACCGTACCAATTGCAAACATAAATATATCGCCAGCTTTGGTAATTCGCCTGAGGATTTGAACAGTCACACTCAATTCTCAAAAACATACATCTTAATTGTACCTATATATGAATGAGAATATAATGGTAATGCATACATGTATTACGGAGCTGAATACAGTGAAAAAAGTAATAGCTAGACCTTGAAGATGATCATGATTAACCATATTATCACGTAGCTTTCAATGCACATATATACATGTATTCTGTGTATTTAACATAAAGCTAGTATATATACAATTAATGAAGTAACCAATCAATCAATAAAGCTAGTGTATTTATTACATACATACGACTTAAGGTTTTACTGGTCACTCAATATGCTCAATCATCATAATCACCTTAATTGAACAGCTTTATAACATCTCGATCATAGCTAGACCAATTATCTGTGGCCGTAGTCATGACGAAACATGTTCGGAAGCACTTCAGTCAGTGCTACACAATCACACCCGACCGGTCGACAGTAATTCCTCGCCGGTGCAAAATTTCTCGGATCAACGATAACAAATTTTTGAATTATTGGTAGGTTTTCAACCAGAAACATCCCTTACGCAATTTTTTGTCTTACAGTAGCCTTGCTTTATCTATGTCCCATTTTTTTTCTTGCGCGAGTGGTTATTCCATGGCCATAATTGTAAGAATATGATCAAGATCTCACCAAATACGTAACACTGCTGTTGTGATCAAGTTAATTTCCATCCTCGCATATATATATTTAAGTACGTAGGCATCCCCTTGAAGATGGCTCAAGCCTCGCTACGCATCGTGCCAGCACACAAATGCAATGAGTTACCGAGGTACGTACTGCCTTGATACATCCCTAAAACCGGTGACATTGAATGTTTTCAACGCGGTTATTTCACTAGATGCGTTTACACTCTTCTACCTATGCCCGTAATCTAAGAATACATGTAGGTTTCTGCAGCCTTCACGAAATCACTGGAATCTGTCAAATGTACATGTACATACATGGCCCAGCTACATGTAGGTATACTCGCGGGATTTCTGCTGGATTATGGTAAGGTGTACACGCATGTGTATACGTTAAATATGCGCACCGATATACGCTAATATATGTAATATCATCAAGTAGATTTCCAAAATTAACACAGCTTTCCCGGTCAAAAATACCAGTACATCATGCTATATACTACATGTATGTTATAATGTCGATCGGCACATCGTTTCGAAGCTTACTCGAGTTGAAGGTGTACTACATGTATCTCTCATGATCATGTACCGTAGGTAGGAGCGGAATAATAACGAGTACCCGATCTAGATCTATAGAGGAATTAGCTTTGGGAGGTTGAGTAAACTTCAATTGCTTTTCCTCTCTCTCTCTAGAACTCTACTATACTATCGCACGGCAAAGACGCGGACCCGGCAAGCTAAATACATGTAGCTAGGCCATGCCAACACTAATATATAATAGGATTAGACTAACTATCTATGCTACTAACATACGATGACGACATGTCATCCTATAACTCCTATCCTCCAGAAAACTGCTGCGGGAATCCTTTGAGATGAACTCTCATTTGGTACGTATCCATCTTCCACAAACCCCTCAGATAACAGCTTCAAATCAATCCAGAGAACGAAACAGCATTGAGCATATCCTCCTCTGCTATAGTATACAGCGAGTCCATGCAGCTGCACAGACATGTACAGCTAGCTGCAAAACGTTTAGAATCAGATCTGCAAAGACTGCATCAAGCCTCAGCTAGCTAAAACTAAATATCAAAAGTCCTCGCTGGCCTCCAAGTCTCGGTCAAGGTCCCACATATCGGGAATTCCAACTGGAGCAGATCAGGGCCGGCTCCACACGAACTAAGTGCCCATAAATCCTGGCCGGCCATGTTACCTACTCTCCAGTTTTCTGTGAGTCCGGTTGATCATTTATATTTCATTACAAGCCTCACCTAGGTCTAGATCATCTAAAATTTATGATGCGTCTCATAACACGGCTTCTTACTGGAATGTTTTGGTGGAGAAGAGAGCGCGTGGCGTTTGAATGTTATCAGTTTTCTGCAGGTACGCATTTCTCTGCACAGTCCCTATGGCTATAGAGGTATATCAGCCAAAATGAACACTTACGAGGGGATTGCCATAACTGTAAGGTTGCATGCAATTAATGAATTAAACAAAAAAAAAAAAAGAAAAGAAAACTTATGAGGGCGTATATCATAAGGCTGACCCAACCGTACTAGACTATCTAGATGATGTTTTAGAGGGATCTAAGTTGGAAGGTACGTCTGAATAACCCAGTCCGAGGAACTAGAGGGAAATCATATTTTATTACTTCCAGTCCTTTCATGTATGTGGTGACGGAAATGAGAAGTATAAGCGTTCAGCTTACGTAATTAGCTGTGTAGTAAAGAATGTTACGGGTCATGTTATACAATTATATCACAGATATATGATACCTGATCAAATCTTGTGCCTAATAACTAATATCTCTTACACTGTTAGTATTTAGATTCAATCCTTTAACCTACATGTAGTGGTTTATAGAGCTTACGAAATGTAAGCTGCTAGTGTGAAGTGATCTAACACAGTACTTTCATATCGGATCTTTCAGAGTGCGGTAAGTTGCAAAGAGTTCTCTGTTTTCTCATTTTTATATATACCACGACTCCCACTATATATCTAACCTAGGTAACACAAGTAGGACCCAACATAAAAGGTTTAACATCAATTCCGGAAATTTTTGTTACCAATAAATTAGAAACCGCTTATAATAGTATTCTTCAGGAAACTTTAAAGGGGAACGGTATTCCCACATGGTGAGATGGGGTATACATACATGTATACTTAATCACTCAGGCTATATATATGGGTGCACTTTGGTGCATGTACGTGCCACAATGATAATATACGGGATGGCAAGTCACCATCAATACATCCTTCTCTTCCGCTATTCATTTATTTTTTGAAAATAACCACCAAAACCTTGCGTGGCAACCAACATTCCCCACCAAAAACTCTGTAAAACTCAGGCTTCAAAATGCCAAGCCCCACCCCTGACATGACCAAGGCCCTGGACGCCCTTGGAATTGGCAACCTCGACCAAGAACTTGTAGGCATAGCCAACAATACCGCCCTCTCCGCCCTCACCATCGCCATCCTGGCCAACCCCAACACCTCGGACGAAACCAGACTCGTCATCACCCTCCTGTGCGGCATCGCCAAACAAAACGCAACCATGGCAGGCGATATCGCCTCCCTCCAACAGGACCACGAAGACCTCCAAGAGGAGGTCCGCCGCCACCAGCGCTCCCCCGACCCCCGCATCCTCAACCGCCTCGATAACATCAACTCCCAACTCCGCAGCACCCAGGCCCCCACAGCCCCCCCTGCCCCCCCCCCAGCCCCAAAAGTAACCACCACCCACCCTGCCCCCCCCAACCCCAGACCCTCCTCCTACGCCGACGCCATCAGATCGGCAACAACCCCTCCCGCACAACCAACTAGACCACAAAGACGACGCGGGAAAAGGAACGAAAAGGCTGCAGGATCTCCCCCCAAGGACGCACCCCTTCCGACCTATAAACGCCGGTTTTTCGCCACAAAGACCACACCCACCCTCATCCCCGATTCCGACCGCCTAACAGCTGAACTCCCCATCCTCTTTGGGCAGTTCCTAGCGAGACAAGGCCTCGTCGCCCCTGCCACCGCCCTTTCAGTCACCATCAATGCTAAAGGCACAGTAACCATTCTCGCGGCCCCGACAGTCTCGAACTCCACCTTCGCCCCCTTCTATGACAGCCTCACCGCTATACTCAACCAAAAAATCCCCACCCCCGACAACCCCTACACCTCCTTCCGCCCCGCGCCTGACACCATCGACGTCGCCGTACACGGGGTCCCCCTATACAGCATCCGCGACAAACCCACGCTACAAGCCACCTTTCCCGAAGCCGTCCGTCTAGCCACAGGCATCACCCCCTCATCCTGCAGATTCCTCGTCGCCGATGATACAACCCGCAACGCCAAAACCTCCTCCACCATCGTTATCAGTGTCTCCCGCTCCGAAGCCGGCGTCATCGGTACAACCATACGCCTCTTCTCCCGTCCCCGCCGGTGCGCCATCATGTGGTCAGCCTCAGCAGGAACCCAATGCTCCCACTGCTACAAGTTCGGCCACGTCATCAAAGGATGCAAACAAGAACTCCCAACCTGCCCCTACTGCACTCTCTCCCACACCAAAGCAGAACACCGCTGCCCCGTCCCAAGCTGCCAGGGATATAACATATCAACAATGGACTGCTGCGATGTCTCACAGTCCAAATACTCTAACTGCGGAGGCCCTCACCCAGCCTTCGTATCCTCCTGCCCGCACAAACTCGCCCTCCAGAGACAAGACTCGGCCAATAACGGTATGAGAGACGGAGGCCGGATCTTCGCCCCAATTGGCTCCCCATCCACTCACCCCGACGAAGAAGTCACCGAGATTCCCCAGTCCTCGGTGACGGAGATGGACCTCAACAACGCCTAAATGTTAGGAGACCTCAACAGTCCCCCGACACCATTTCTACGCATCATACAACATAATTGCGCTGGGAGCAATAATGTCTTCATATCCCTCTTCTCCTCCCTCGCAGTCTCGAAAGCCCACGTTATCGCGATTCAAGAACCCCCCTTATTCAAAGGAAAACCCCTCAACGCCCCCTCATTCACACTGTACTCCCCCTCCCCATCCAACGCAGAAGACAAGATATCCACCTGCACCTACGTCTCCAATCACCTCCTCGAACGCAACTCAGCAACAGCTACCCCCTCCCACAGAGGAGACCTCATCTCAGTCAACCTTTTCCTACCAACCTCCCCAAACTCCCACTCCACCTTCACGATAACCAATATCTATAACAGACAGTTATCCAACTCCTCGAGATCGATCAGCCCGATTGAAATCTTCACCCATACCCCCAACCCCCTCATCGTAGTGGGGGATTTCAACATCCACTCCCCTGCAGCGGACCCCATGAGGAACTTCTCCGACGGGGAACTTCGCCTCTCAGGGCCATACATCCATTCCGCCACAACCAACAACTTCTCACTCCTAAACTACCCAGGCACCTACACCCGTCTCTCCCCGGACCCCCGGAAAAAGACACGGAGTAATCGATCTCGCCTTTGCGAACGCAAGAGCCACCTCCCTATTCAACAAATGGCAACCCCTCCCCGAAGCCACTGGCTCCGACCACAGAGCCATCGCCATTGCCTTCGCCCTCCCCAACACTGACTTCACACCCATTATCGGCCCCAACTGGAAACTCACAAACTGGCCAAGCCTCCAACCCGCCCTCCAGAACTTCACAGTCCCCAGCCCCAACCCTTCGACAAGCCTCGACGATTGGTTCGAACAATCGCTGCAAAAACTCACAGATACCCTAAAGAGCCACACCCCCTCCAAAACAATCACCAAATGGTCGAAACCATGGTGGAACCCCAACATATCCCAACTCCGCACAATCTACCACTCCGTCCACCGCGACTTCAGAAGAGGCCTCAGCCCCCCCTTCGAAGTCAAAGCGGCGAAGAATGCCTACTTCAATGCAATCAAAAACGCAAAACGCACCCACTGGAACTCCTTCGTGTCCAATGCGGCCACCAGCGATGTCTGGAAACTTAAAAGAATGGCAACAAGAACAGAAGACAGAGTCCCATCCCTCCCCAACTCCCCCACCTGTAACGGAGCCATTTCAACTGTCTGGTGTATGAGTACACACAGGGCCCGGTTACATGCTGAGAGTTATTGTTAGAAGCCAGTTGCACAGTGACATGCAAGTACCGGCAGTGTGGTTAGCTACCAACTGTCAGAGTAACTACATTCTGAGCGCTAGGAAGAGGATCTACTCATGGGAGCAATGACTGACGAGTCTGTGCCTCGCCAATGATTAGAAGGCTAGCCAGAGTGAAGCTCTGAGTGCTCAGCGATCCTCCACATCCTCTGAGCATTGGAAGTCCGCCAGCAGTGGAAGAGACTATGCCTGGGAAGTCTACAATAAGCGGAAGCTCTACAGCAATGATTAAGCTTACACCTGAGTGGCAGCTCATTCATGCAGGCCCCTAGTTGTGTGGCAACAAAGGCTGCAGGTGTTACAAAGGCTTTGACTAAGGGTGGTTGCCTTCGGAATCGGAAGCACTCGCTGACGCTTAGAGAGAAGCGGGGTAGCGATGGTATTGCTTCCCTTCCACTAGGAGGCAGCACCGGAACTTAGTAAGGAAGTAGGAGCAGAGAATAGAATCCTTTGGAGTATAAGTACTCAGGATCATTCCCGCCCAACTGACCTGATCCTCATCTTCGAGTAGACCATTATCGGTAGCAGAGCCCTTAAAGATTATTGAGTTCTAGCGATAGTATCTTTGAATAAATCTGCACCTGATTTCTATCTTGCACGGCCGCATCTATTCTATTGGATTCTAGCGATACATAGATAGGCTGCCCCCGTTACAGATAATCTTTAGTGCTCAAATCACCTTCAGATTATTCTTTCCTCTCACAACATGTCCGCCCTCCCGGCTCCCCAAGCGCCTCTTCAGATTGAATGGCAACCGGCAGCTTTAGAATTCCAAGAGGGACAGACACAGTTGATCCACAAGCCCAGGACGGCGCTCCAGTCCTACATCCCCGGATGTGAGCCCACCTGGCAAGATACCGACGAAGTCACCCTACAGGACTTCTTTGCGGAATTGCAGCGCTACCTGAAGCACAGCCTGCAACAGGAAGTCATCAAGGCCGGCAATGCGCTAGCCTTGGTGCAAGAAAGACAAGAAGCTGAGGCAGTCCTGCTCCGGAATGCCTTCGGCTATATGCAAGAACAAGTCTCCTCAGTCCAGGCACAACTCCAGAGTTATGCTCAGAGAGATGACTTAGGAGCGGATGAGATGGAGGACATTGAATGGACAAACCCGGCGATGCCCCCTAACTTCCTAGAAGACATCCAGAGAGCCATTAATGAAGGAAGGCTCTCCATCGCCAGGATGCCTACACCAGCACCTGTCCCCAATCCCGCACCTCCGCAAAACTCCAGGGCCTCATCCAGAGCAGCCCTGAGAACCTTCCACCAAAGGGTGAACCCCTTTGCAGCGTTTCCAGTCAGGTCTATCAGGCAGAGGACACTTCCCCTGATGATGCCAGCGGCCATTGGAGGCTCACCTTTACCTCCTCAGAGAGCCCCATCAAGCCCGTTGGCAGGCGGCCTAGCAAGGCCCCCCCGACAACCTATAGGAGACGACGATTACTACTCCCAGACACCGGTCAGGAGTGGTCCCTCCGGGCTCCCTCCAGCCTGGGTTCGCCAGGGGTTATCCCCAGAATCCCACAGAGGCTCACCACCCCCGGAGTCACCTAGGAGGAACCTCCAGCCAGAAGGAAACCCTGGTGGAGAAAACCAGAACCCAGAACCAGCGGGTAATGGTGGAGGAGATGGAATTGTCCCCCCAGTTGGCGGCGCTCCCAACCCAGGAGGGGACTCAGACAGTTCAGACTCGGAGCCTGAGGATGGTGACAGGAGAGGATGGCGAAGGTACCTCAGGAAGAAGTTGGAGAGGCAACAGAAAGAACTCCTGGCCTCCATGGCACAGTTCATGAGACCTCCGGCCCCCTCACACCCCTCCGCTGCCTCTAGGGCCCGAGAACCCAAAGCACCCCCTCCGGCCAAGTTCAATGGCAAAGCAGACAACGTGGAGACCTTCATCCGGCAATGTGAGAACGTCTTCTCCATTGAGGGCCAGTCCTTTACCTCTGAAGAGGTCAGG